TTAGACTAACAAAAATTAAATGCATTTGCAATGTTAGTATTAAACATTATTACGTCTTCCATAGTGTATATGTGACCCCTCAATATTTTGAAACCAATTATACTATGCGATTTTTTGTAACACGAAGATGTGGATTCACTCCATAGTCAAAGTATATTACTTGAGACATAAAACCAGGTTGAAATCCCATGTAACCGCCTGTTTGTGGTCAGTTTGACTGTAAACTAGCTATATTTGTGTAACTTAAACGCCAACACAAAGCCACAATGTTCTGATCATATGCAGTTGGTCAATTTAAGTAACGGTTTAAAATTCCTTCTAACAAACGGTTTGACTAGTGATAAGAACACAAATTAATAATAATGTCAAATTCTTTTTTAAAAAATGACTACAAGCTAAAAGGAAAAAGAAACATTGGTGAGACTATGATTTATGGACGACCTTTGAGCGACGCTAAAGTAACCTTGAGAACGTCCATCTACTTACTAGTGTTAAATCAGGGTTATAAATTAGTGTGGTGAATTAGAATTATGATTCACAGTTGATGGTTAAGGTTAGGATTTAGATTTAGGGTTTTCATCACAAAGGCCAAAACGCTATTGAGCCAACTGGATGAGTGAATTTCGCACCGAAATCCGAGACCTGTTATCCTAAATCTGATTGGCTCGTCCATAAATTATAGTCTCGCCGAAACATTTTTAAATGGAACGTAGTGCATATAAAATAAATATTGCACAATATTCTGGATATATATTGTACTAAGTAAAAGACCAACGTTAGTCTAAAGATAGGTGTCAGAGAAAATATATTAAAATGAAACAAAATGGTTCTTTAAGTTAGATTATTCTGAATCACTGTTTTACTTACTTACTTACGCCTGTTACTCCTCGCGAAGGAGCATAGCCGCTCACCAGCTTTCGCCATCCAACCCTGTCCTGGGCAATCCTTTCCAGATCCTTCCAGCTGTTATTCATCCTTTTCATATCTGCTTCTATTTCTCGACGTAATGTGTTCTTTGAACTTCCTCTTTTCCGCCTTCCTTCAGGATTCCAGGTTAGGGCTTGCCTCGTAATGCGGTTTGACGATTTGAGTAGTGTATGTCCTATTCATTTCCATCGTCTTTTCCTAATTTCCTCTTAAGCTCGAAGCTGGTTTGTTCTCTCCCACAAAAGGTTGTTGCTGATGGTATCCGGCCAATGGATGTTGAGTATCTTGTGTAGACAGCTATTTAGAAATACTTGTACCTTCTTGATGGTGGTTGTTGTAGTTCTCCAAGTTTCAGCTCCGTACAGTAGAACTGCCTTGACGTTCGTATTGAAGATTCTGATTTTGATATTGGTTGAAAGTGATTTTGAGTTCCATATTTTCTTCGATTGTAGGAATGCGGCCTTTGCTTTTCCAATCCTCGACTTTACGTCTGCATCTGAACCTCCTTGTTCATCGATGATGCTTCCCAGGTATGTGAAGGATTCTACATCTTCCAGAGTTTCACCATCAAGAGTGATTGGATTGCTGTTCTTCGTTTTGAATTTGAGGACCTTGGTTTTCCCCTTGTGTATGCTGGATCACTGTTTTAGTTTTCAGAAATTTTACATCTAGATTAACATAGATAGTTTTAAAAAAACTATTTATGAAGCAACAAACTTAATAGTAAGCCTATTGTATTTTAAACTAACCATTTTGATTTGATTAAAATCAATGAACTTCATGGAACTTGAAATGTTTCAAGACTACTTCATTAAATGTTAGAGCACCAGTCTAAAATCCTTTTAATTAACCTATTAATATTGATAAGAACTTAGATCTAAATTGTTGAGTGATGGATACTTTCTAGATTTAAACACAGTTCTATCATTTATTGGTGGGCTACAGCTTTCAATGTTGACCATTATATCTCACTTGAATAGGTCAAGTTTTTAATGCTTATTTAAAACTTAGATAACGTTTAGAAGATTAGAGAAGAGGCTCATAATTATGAAATAATAAAATCAAGTAATTTATTGATCAATTTAAAGTAACCATAAAAGATCATCGACTTCACATTTACGAGTCGGTAAAATGTTTTATCATAACTATATGTTAATTAAACAATAGTTGAATAATTAACAAAAATGCTTCCGAAATTCAAGTACTAGATGGTGACCAATAGATTAGACTTTTCAATGACACTTAATAGATTCATTCGCACAGATGTATATCGCCTATGCATTATGCTTTGAACTTGGAAAAATGTATCCAGAATACAAATATTTAGGGAAGCAATAAAAGTCAATAAATGTGCACAACGGTCCAAATCAATTTTAAAACGAACGCCACAGAATAATGGAGTGGATTTTCTGAATGCTAACAAGACTTCACTTTAATCAGTAATAAAACATAACACAAAAGTTGTATTTCTTTTTCAATTCATTATGAATTAATATCTCATAAACACAAAAACCAAAATAAGTGTACATTTTTATAGTCAATAAGTTAACTTTCTTATACTAAATATCAGTATATTGACATAAAATGAAACATGACAATTTATGACAAATGTAAATTTAAACTGTTAAAATGTTTATGCATCGCTTCACATTGTATAGGAGATTGATAGCCAACAGTTGGCCACCCATCAATATTTTCCTTTTTCTTTAACTGTCAATACTATTTATCTATTCGAATTCTTATCAGTTCTTTAATTAGATTTTCTTTTTCAAAATCATAAAACCAAACTATTTATAATTTACCTAAATATTTATACTTAACCATAGAAGTCTAAATGATCTGTATAATATACAGTCAAATCAAAGAACAAACAATGTTTTGACACATCACTTATAAGTTATGCATCATTTGATTTCTCAAATATTTCATAGACTTGACAACAGCGTGTTAATGAAATCAGGGATATAAATAGTATTCACTTCTAAACAATAAAACGTAAGCAAATGAACAGTTATGATAATAATACAATTCAATAAATAAACAAGTTTTTGGAATATACTTTATATGTCATTACAATTTACACTGTCTCTATTGTAATGAGTTAAATGGGATAAAAATCTATTCCACCGGATCTAAGTCAACTATGACTTGAATGTGTGTACAGATTATAGTTATCTTAACTAACCGAAAAACTTATTTGAATAGGATAGTAAGCGTATGTATAAACTGTTGTTAAATTTCTTTTAACGCTGTTTGTTCACTTGAATATCTTATTCTAAACATTATCTGGGAGGTTAGCTAACAAAGCATGATTTCATTATTTTATATTCTAGAAAATAACGTTGGATAACATTCGTTGTAACTTACTTCTTCTTAGTTTTGAAAGATGCTTAGATCCGAAACACAGTCAGTGAATAGTTCAGGTTGAAAAACTTCACAGCATCTACAACAAATCACCAGTCACAGCTCCATTTCAAACAAGAATATAATTAACGAAAATAAACTAGGCACTACCCTCAGGAAACAGATAGATCTTTCAATAAAAACACTAACAGACGAAAAATTGATTCGTTGTAATCCTGAGATAACACTAGTTGCGGAAAAGACTAAGTAAATGATTGATTACATTTCAAACTACTATTTAATGAAAAGTAGCATAACGCAAAGAACTAAATTATGACCCAGAATGTAGGCATCAATGATGATGCAGTCTCATAAACTCTCAAACTTGTATAAGGGATTTGTGGAGATTGTAGAATTTCGTATTTTACATCATGCAATGAACCTATTTAAACAACTATTGTAAACCAGGTTGCACTAATATGCAGTTACCTATCGATGACATTGGACGATGGCTGAGTAATATATAGGATCAATTGAAGCTAGTAATGTAAACTGCTGAATGCCAACTTAGTGGTCTGAATATACCCAAAAGTTCTGAGCATAATCACTAGTTTGATCTTCGGTGCGCATTCGTAACGACCACACCAAATAAAGACAAGGATAATAGATAAAGTATCAATTATGGAAATTAGATCCTTTAATAAAATCTACGTTTCTGAAATTTTATAATTAAAGACGTACTAGAGATATTATTCTATGTAAGGTGATGATAAAAACCGATCAGTTTCGCAAATTCGTATTTCACTAGAAAAATATCTTACAAGCAACAAGTATTGAAACTATTTGAGGTAACGAAAGCTCAAATTCTAATAATAAATAAATCCACAAATAATTAAAACATTTGCTTACTTCATATCAAACACTTAATGTCAACATTTAGATCAATGAAACCGATGCTGTCATCACCAAGCGGTTTATACATCTAACTCTAGCAATTCAAAGATTAACTAATAAATAAAACCTGTGTCTTCAGTTCAAAGCCCAAACTAGATCTACACGACATGACTAAACATGATAACAATTCACTTTGACAAATTTAGTAATGTTAGTTGATATCAGTAGAATTTGCATCCTTATATTATTAAAAAAGAACAAAATAATAAAACACTCAACTCAACTATGGACAGAACGAGATTTCATTGAGTATAATTCCGACCACTTTTGTTGCTGAGTGGGCGATAAATTAAGTTCCTCAAAACTGTTTTGATTAATCTCAGTCCCTAAATGTTAATATCATGGTCATAGAATGTGAGAAATCTATTAGATGATTGAAAAATTTATGGTTCATGCTGTCATCTAGTATCGAACTTGAATTGAAATACAAATCATAACTAACGATGGGAATGAGAAAAAAAACTAATCCAAAAGTTTATTGGAAATAAGAACCGGCTTAAGTAAGACAAGAACACAGAACTAGAAGTAGTGGACAGCTGATTTGTCCAATATGAGACCCTCAAAAATAGTGCGCATCTAAAAACTCCTTAGAGGATCGAAACTACAATCATCAAAACTGGCAGGGAGTGCTTAATCTTTAAACTACTGAGACAACAACCGACAGTCTACGTGTTTAACTTCAAACAACTTGTGGTGTTCGACGTCACACTTCATACGATAACAGTTATATCGATAAATTGAATACAAAAAATCGAATAAAGAATACTAACGAAAATCACACGTAGAAATGATTATTTCCTCTTTCTCTTTTAAAATATATAAACAAATGAAAAACAGAAGAAAAACAACGATACAAACAAAATTCAAAACAACAAAATTGAAATGTTGGCAGGAAAGTTGAGAATACACGTTTTGAAAAAAAAACAAAACAGAAATACAAAAAAAAGTGAAAAATAGTTTTATCCGCACACACATACATATATACTGGCAAGTAAAAAAAAATACAAAAAGAGGTGCAAAACGGAATATAATAATAGTCAAGTCAAATGATTTATTATATATAGTTCTATCTATCACAGTCAACAATATCCACTCGTATTTTTGGTTAAAATAAATGAGGAATGAACAGAAAAAAAATATGAGATTAAGGAAATGGCAAAAATTGTTTGGTTTCTTATCATCGTTATGAAGTTCAAAAATGATGATGAATGTTATTGTCAGTTTAAAGTTTATTCTACGACAAAAGAAAATCTATTTCTTCTTTTAATGAATCAGCCATTTTTCCAGCTAAATTACAATAATACATAGCAGCTTCATGATGACCAAGTTTTATTAGAAATGAACCGAATTCCAAAAATATTGACTCGTAAAATGATTCTGTAACCGAAATATTAATCATTTCAGAATTATTCTTACTATGAATTTATTATGGTAAATATTGTGACTTATAAAATGTTAATTATGTAATAAATATGATATTGGCAAATCTGAAAATTATAGTATCATAATTATATACATATATAAACTCTCAAATCAAAATCAATTTTGTGTTGATTTGCACAGTTAGAATCCTTTCACACTAGTGAATATCAAAAAATGCGAACATACTTCATGATATCAGCATAATGTACTGAAAATCATAACTTATTTTATACTTTGTTATGTTCACCACTTGATTAACGCAGAATACGGTATACAACTACGGTACTCGAAAGTTTAGAACCCCAGTCTCAAAATTAGAAGACAGAAGGCTGAAGAAGTGTTTGCTGGATAAGAATCAAAATGTACGAAAAATCATGGGTATTTATAGATATTAGCGTTTGTTATAACATCATCACAATTCAACCAATCCGCAAAGAGGTAAGTTATGCTACTGTTCAATCTTAGTATGCCACGTTGATATCCCAGAAGGTTCTATAGGGTGCTGATTTGACGGAATCCCTTAGATTCTCTGGCAGCTTTGTCGTGCTTTTAGGATAGCAACTATTTTCTTTAACATGGTGATTCAAAAATCATTTTAATAAAACAACTTCACTTTGATAACAAGAAGACCAAAATTAATGTCAAATATTAATCTATCGAAACATGCTAAAATATATCAGATTACACAGTTTAATATATAGAACGATATGAAATGTTTTACAACACATAAACGATCTTGAATTTCTCCTCTCTTAAATAAAAATAAAACGAAAACTAATATTAAACAGGCGAATGCAGCGGTATAACGATTCATCAAATTAAAGTCTTTGTGGTGGTCGGTATTCGATATGATCCTTAAACTTCGCATACAGTTCGTCTTGATAACCGTTCTATATAACGTCCCAACGGTATATTAATCAGAAGGCAAATACGAAGTGTTGATTACGTTTATTACGAGACCACACACATATATCCAAATGTACAGATGCGTTAAACAAGTATAGAAGAGTTGTGCCGAAAGGCAAGCAAGCGAACGAGAGCGAGAGTCAGAGCGAGACGAGAGCGTGTGAGAGTTGAATATGAATAACATGGACATATATATAGCATGTGAAATGAATGAGTAATCGAATCAAATAAGCAGTTAGTAGTAAGACTAGCAGAGCGAATAAATGCGTAGGCCGTAAGCAATATTCAAGATACGTATTTCATACAAACACAAAATAATAAGGGTACAATAAATTGTTATAGTGCGGATGACTTTGTCCGCTAAATGAGTTAGCAAAAGGGCTTAACTGAGTTAAATGAGAATAAACCCAATTGCACGTGAGTCGCTATATCTTCATACTTTTTAAACTAAGTAAGAAGTTATGTAATTGATTAGACAGATTAAAAGGTTTATAACTTACACCAACTATGTGTACAGATTTAAAATATATAATACATATTCTTACCATTTATCATTTGAATTGAATAATACAAGTCTAAAATTTCATTGTTAATTGATTAAGTGAAATTGAAACAACTGGATGTTATTTTTATCAACAAACACTGTTCATCACAAGCTTAATTCCTTGATTACACATGCACCAAACAAATAAGAAAAGATTTTTTAAACGAAATCTCTATATGAGAGAGAATAATAATAATCCCAATTTATTAAAACAAAAAAGACAAAATACTTACCTGTTTCTTTAGTTGTATTCAATAAGCTTAATTCACGGCATGCTTCCAGGTATCTAGCTGCTAACTGATATTGTTTAAGATTAAAAAGTAACTTTAAGACATTAGAATGATCTTCTAAATAAACATAAATGAGTATAGCTAAATCCTTTAAGATGTTTTTTTTTAAAAAAAGAGGAAAGAAAGAGAAAACAAAATAGTCATATTATTGTTACTATAAACATTGAAAATATAAACAGTAAGTTATAGAAAGGTAATTATTATAATCATAACAATTTTGTTCAATGGACTATAGATTACAGATAGCTAATAGATATAGATTGACCTAAATCACAGTGATTTGTAACAGTGCAATAAGATTGGAGCGTGATAGTAAGAAACATGTAGTATAACTTATGATTGCAATGATTATTGATATTGAGTAGGAGATTGTATTTATATTCGTGTTACACAGGCGAAGATGCAATAGGTTCAGAGTAAAAACATTTAAGTGTTGAACTGATGTTGACCACTTGGAATATTGAAGTTGAAAATCTAAAAGAAGTGCTTGTAATAATCATCGTAATTTTTTCAAATCATTAGTTACAGTTACAAATTTAGAAGGAGACTCTACTTACAGAAAAGATTATGGTTGTAAAGTACACAAAAGAATTCGAAAGATATAGACTCAAGATTAGATTTTAAAAATGTGATTCTTAATAGATAAAAGCAAGAACTATCTCTTGACATTCAGTCATCCTTCAACCGATTAATAAGCAGTAAACTATTGCATGAAAAATCAACCAATTAAGAATCATGAAGGTGATGAGCGAATGCATTGATGACGAAATAATTCGTGAATAATAACTGTCAATCAAGTTTTATTAATGATTTACTAGCAGATAAAAACACTATTTACGACACGTAAATAACAATTAAACATACATATGAAGTGACAGTAATTTGTTTGTTTTCTTTTGCAATAACTCCGAATAGTTAGAGGAAGTAAACAAAGAGCGTATACTACATTACTACGCATCATCATAACTCTAGGTTGGTGATTATCAACGAAATATAAATAGACGAAGGTGATATTTACTTAATTTTAATAGTATAAGACGTATATTTTTCAAGTTTAGTTACACTTATAATGATTCATACAACTTAGAGCTTGATTCAGCTATACGAGCATACAGTCCCTTATTGAAAACGTAGAAGACCAATATTAAGCGATATAAGTAGAAAAAAAATAAGAATAATGAAATGAATATTGTATTTGATCAATTAGTACTTCCAAACTGTGAATACAAATGGGGGGAAATGTAGTCCTGGAGAGGAATGTTTGATATACACAAGCAAACATGTCGAATCTAAAGTATTTACGTATATATTATGCTAATACCAAATAAGTTATTTAGTGTTTCAACAATCCGAGTTAACTATCACCAACATACATTTATAATACTTGTAATTCTACTGAACCAAATATTAGGAAAAGATAATGATGTATAGGCACGTGCTGTGTTGTTTATCGTCCTATATTAAAATATGAGAACAAATATTTGAATATCCGGAGAAAACAAACAGCTGAAAAAGTGTTTTAGTGAAAACAAATAATTTTCGACACTCAAATATAATAAACAGAAGGGAGAATAATTGGAAACAAATCTGGACATACTTTTCGATTAACCTGAGATGAAGCTAAATAGGACGCCCAACGTCTCATTACTTTATCATGTTCTTCAATTGATAATGTACACTGAAAAAAAGCAGGAGGAAGTGAGAACAGTAAATGATGAAGGACACTAAAAAAGGAACACGATAATTAAAAAATGATAGTCTAGTGATAAGCAAGTAATAAATATAGTATTCTATTTTATTCAATATACATATCTTCTGGTACAACTGGGTGCCAACAACAGAAAAGTGGCACCCAAATACGACGATAAGATTGTGGACGAATAGGGAAGGAGAAGGGTGTACAACCAAATAGATCAGTGAACGAGAACGATACATGATAGGAGATATAGTTCAGTTGGAAACAAAACTATAAGAAATATTTTTAGCTAAGAGAGTTCCTCTTACTTTTATGATGATTGTAAAAAGAACTACGATAACATCACTGCTGAGTTTCCTCATCTCTAGGATCTCAGCCAGAGAGTGGTGATGAATTAACAGACACAAGTCTTACACAGCTTTCTATCATATTCCAGTGCCATTTCATAAACTCTCCACCTCTTCGCTTTTTCCACCCATTCCTAAAGTCGTGAATCAAAGCGCTAAGTAAAAGCTATTATGATGATATTCATAATACATGTTCAATCCACCGAGCCCAATATTTTAAGACAATGACATTAAGTGAACTATCGCAACTGGACTCGAACAAAATACCCACTATCCATTTCAGAATCTATAAAAAATTGATTTTCATCTTATTAATTCAATAACTCCTTACAATAAAACGTATAACTTAGTGTATAATAATATGAACTAGATGAAATAATAGCCAGGAATAGAAAACGTAATCTAAGACAAACATTCGGACATAGTTATCAATACTAAATAATGTCAACGAAAAAAAACAAAAAACAAGAAAGAATCAGAGTTCATGTACAGGTATTTTGTTAAGGAACAAAGAAATTAGTAAAAATGTGAAACTTATTGAAAGTTATTTTTCAATAGATATCACTTAGTATATAGTTTTTAATGGTGTATTTATTAAATAACTAATTCATAATATTCCCATTACATTTGACTTATTAACTGTTACAATATATCTTGATATTTAGAAATTACAGTTAATTATAAATCTAGTATAGGGGTTGTGGAGATTATTAAGTTTTTTGATTGAGATCATGAACCGATTGATGTTAGACCAACACAATTGAAAACCTGGAAGCACTGGACGGCCGTTTCGTCCTATTGTGGGACTCCTCAGCAGTGCGCATCCACGACCCCGCGAGCAGGATTCGAACCCAGGGCCTTCGGTCTCGCGCACGAACGTTTAACGAACTGGACCACTGAGCCGGCATCCAATGGTGATAGTTTCTAACATCAACCAATCCACGAAATTGCGCGACCAACTTCCATTGTACTGAGGTAGATACCTGTCTCTACCCGACAAGGATTAGCTCCACTGGTCACGGCTTCTCACTAGAACTCCGAGAATTCCCTCACGAAGCTAGTCACTAGTGAGCACATGTTGATTACTAGTATAGGGGTTGTGGAGATTATTACGTTTTTGATTGAAAAGCTCAATAACAAGAAAAGAACTATTCAGGGTTCTTGGTTTTATCAAATATATTCCTAAATTCACTTGGATGAATATCTGTTAGCAGGTACATAAATTTATTAAAAGGTTATAAACTAATTGAAAAAACTAATCAGTGTACTATCGATAAACGAATGCCTAACAGTCAGTTGAATTTGGTTAGCTCCACTGGTCACGGCTTCTCACTAGAACTCCGAGAATTCCCTCACGAAGCTAGTCACTAGTGAGCACATGTTAATTACTAGTATAGGGGTTGTGGAGATTATTAAGTTTTTTGATTGAGATCATGACCAGTGGAGCTGGTAGACAGGTATCTACCTCAGTACAATGGAAGTTGGTCGCGCAATTTCGTGGATTGGTTGATGTTAGAAACTATCACCATTGGATGCCGGCTCAGTGGTCCAGTTCGTTAAACGTTCGTGCGCGAGACCGAAGGCCCTGGGTTCGAATCCCGCTCGCGGGGTCGTGGATGCGCACTGCTGAGGAGTCCCACAATAGGACGAAACGGCCGTCCAGTGCTTCCAGGTTTTCAATTGTGTTGGTCTAACATCAATCGGTTCATGATCTCAATCAAAAAAAATTATAAATCTGTTTGTTTAGATTTTATATTACAAACATTGTTTGTTTGTTTGTTTGTCGAAATTTGTCATTTATTAGTAGTTGTAGGTAAGACCACAATTTATGGAGGACCTTTGAACAACACTAAAATGACCTTGGAATGTACACTTACCAGGGTTAAATGAGGGTTATATATTGGTGTGAGGAATTAGGATTAGAATTTGTAGTTGAATGTTAGGGTTATGAATTAAATTTAATGTTTTCATCATGAATTAACATTAGCTAGAATGCCAAAATGGTATTTAGCCAAATGAGTAAATGAATTTTGCTCCAAAATCCAAGATCATTTATCTTAAATCTGATTTGTTCATCCATAAATTCTAGTCTCGCCTAATAATAATAATTTTTCCGAAGTTCTGACGAATGTTCTGGAGAATGTTGCATATCCTGTCAAGAGTTAACGTATTACAATGCTAAAATTAGCGGATTTATTATTGGTTAGTATGTGTTAGAGGCACAAAACATTTGTTTTAATGAAAGACTTATCACCTAACTTCATTTAGATCAGTTTTCTAAGACAGTATTCAGTACTTTTAAGTTGGTGTATGAAAATATTCTCCTCTTATTGTTAATACATTAAAAGTTTGTGACAGAAATTATCATCAGAAGGAATTATTGTATCAATAAAATTAACTGTCAATATTATACGGTCGAAAATGATCAAATATATAAAATAACTACCTTAGCTAACCATACAGAACGATCCCATCGATCGAACGATTCTAAGTAACGGCATGCATCAACTTGTAAGCCAATAAGACACAATAAACCAATACCATCATTAATTTTTCCATTAGAAAGTAAATTTGTAGCAACTAATTTTATTACACTTAAATAATTATCTTCTGCTGGTTGATTTACGCTAGACTCGGACAGAAGAGATTTTCTAGCAATATTTGCCGTAAACAAACAAGCACGATACATATTTATAGAATAATTACTTGAATCTGCAGGTGTTTCCAGTAGTAAAGAAACTGCACGATCCTGTTGACCTAAATTAAAATTAGTTAATTATTGTTACTTCAATCATAATAAAATTGCAGATAACTCAAATTATAATTATAATAATTAATAGTTTGGTTTTTAAAAAGCAAGACTGATAAAGCTAAACTATATTTCCAAACCAATCAGGATCGAATGAGCGAGTTTATGGTCATGGTAGAATCATCAATCTAGAGTGACGTTCATCGAGCCATTTCAGACTAAGATGTTGACTGTAGACTATCCAATGAGCAATTTTAGTGATTTAAACATCATGAAGTTACAGGGGTCGTGGAAGCGCGATTTCGAAGACTCATATACTAGCACGAAATGTTCATCCTGTGTTTTCAGAATTTTATTGGTTGTCTAACTTAAATCGGTTTGAGATATCAATGAAACTCGACAATCATAACCCTGATTAATTGCAGTCGGGAAGATCCAAACAACCAATACAAATAAATAGAAATTCACCCCGTTGCACAAACCAGTGGCTATCTGTACTCAGCAATTAGATAGATAACACTACGGGGTTTTTGAGCAAACGTAACTGGATTTGAGTCTTGAAGTGAACATCTACTCGGATGCGGGTGTATCCAGTCGATGAATCACAAATAGGACGAAACGTGCGTCCTGGATTCTCCTGTTAGCCACCATCTATTGCTGCTTATAGGACTTATGATTTAATGGCATTATCGAGGTAATCTACACAGGATGTAAACATGCCAAAAAAGACTAATTAATTGCAATCAAAAACACCAATACAAATAAATTGATAACCATATGCTGATACTTACGATAAGTTGGATTGTTGAGGGCAAAATTCACTTAGGAATGCAGGAATGAAATGAATGTAAATAAGTTTAAGAGGACTGATATTTCATCCAAGTGTTTGTTAGTGTTAGGATTATCAAGTTCCTGACAAACTCCATTCTCATTAGGAAACTTGTAATTGGCACTTTACATGGGTACAATCGGAAACCTGGACGTAGTCGCTTAAGTTTGTAACTTGAATCAATTCTTATTCAACGAAAAACCACTATATATATATATATATATATATATATATATATATATATATATATATATATATATAGCAAATGAAACCATTTATATGGGTTTTGAAAAGCTGCTATAAATACAGTACAGGGTTTGCACAATTCTATCACGAAGCAAATACGCCTCTACTAAGAAGTCGTTTTATATGGAACTGTGATGCACCTACGCATAGATATTGGTACAAGGAGGCACCAAGTCCATATGTGCCACACAACTCTCATTTATGTGAGAGCTGTGATATTGCCCGGGTGCCCAAACCGAAGCAGGTGATTTTCTTAGAGGACCACACCCGGAGCCTTCGGCCTGAAGGTCTGATCCACAAGGCAGTGGAGCATCGTAAGGAGATGCAGTCCCATGGTAGCCGGTGACCAACGATTGGTTCATACGCCATTTGTTCCCGCAGGATACTAGAGCCCATGTGCACCATTGGTTTGGGATCCGCTTAAGGCACCGGACATTCGCTTTTCGTCCTCTCAATTTCGTAAACAACACCCCCACTACGAGAAGGCAGTGAGTAGGACTTCCCTGGCAGAGGTTATATACGCGTGGCCATGTGAGGGCATTTCGAGAGGGAGAGCGGACTCCCCCACACTCGGCCGTAGCAGGGCATTTGGAGGATGATGCACCTACTGTACTAAACGGAGATCAAATTAGACCGAAATTCGTAAAACACGAACGTATAGCAGAGATAAGACATGGTTGTCAATTTACCACTTTAAGTCTGTTGGCAGTACATACTGATGTAGCTAATAAATATTAGAAATGCAATCTTCCTTAAATGTTGTCAGTCTGCTTTTTCCACGCAGAGGCGGCTTCCTACAGAACTTATGGGATGAGGACAGTGGTAACTTTAAAAATATTGAGTAACATAGAAACCAAATTGCGAACATGTAGAATCAAGGAAAGATGAGTAAGACTCTTACGACACCCCGTTTTGTCTGGATAATAGGTTGAGAATAAATCCCGACGACAATAATAAAGATGCAAGGAATTCCTAATAACCGTGATGTGGACAGAGCGATAGTAGACTTTGATGGACAATGGGTTCTCAAACCTAGCAAGTTACTGTTGTCAAATAGTAGATCAGTAAGTGTGAAAATAGAGAAATAACGATTCGGTACAATATAATAAATATATTCTTATAGGAGCAATTATCAATGTGTAACTGACAACTACTGACAATAAGCTAAACCTCTAAACACTTCGCTAAACCTGTCTATGCTGCCACGTTTACCGAAACCGAAACCTTAGTCAAATTAATACTTACCGACCATAATCAGTGTATTAACACAATCCATAATTTCAGTAGGTGAATTATGCGACTTTTCCATATATGATATAAACTTTTCAACATTCTGACGATATAAATCACAGTCAGCTAAAAAATCCCAAGATAAATCTAAAAAATACCGAGACCATAACTGGTTATTTAATTGTTGTGGATTGTGATGTAAAGCTTTTTTGTATAGTAAACGATTTGCAACCAATCGCCAAAATTTTACTTCATATACATCGCCAAATAATTGAGCAGTCCATAAACAACGTTCAATAATGGTAGTATTCGACAGGTTCATAAAACTGGTAGATAATTCATGTCTACAATGTAAGTGGACAAAGAAACTGGTGTGAGATATTGTTAAAAAAAATCTGTATGATGTTCAATTTACTAAACAGTTTCGATCTAAGTGACACACTGTTTATCATCGTTACGGTATACTTACAATGTTGAAATCAAAAGCCACATTAGTTGATAAGAACAAAACGACTCAACTAGTAGGCAAGTTCAAACTCTACATAATTCTTGCTCATCACACCAGAAATATTTTTATACTTCTTTACAATATGTCTACAAATCACTAAATCTTGTACGCCTTTTCCAAACAAAATCACGAGGTCCATCATACTTCAAGTCAATTGAAAAATGTAGACAATTAGTACCACAAATAAATGAACAAAATATAGGTAGAAACTAGTCACAATCCATGATTCTATAATAAAAAGTAATGCATGTGTTGATGGTTTATACTTTAATCAACGTCTTACAAACTAAGTATCCATAAATCTTGAATTTCAATAAAAACCTATTGGTAGGCTAATTTCTAACTTACCACACTGTAACCGGAGCAAAACTCAACACATGTAACGTATAGAGATTTGGCACAAAATATCACATTTCGCAGCCATCAGTCACTTTATATCACAAAAGAACACAGTGATAGAATAATTGTGTTATAGATAGGCTAAGTGTAATAAAATATCTTATTTCAACTAGGTAAAAAAACTTGTTGTTAAGTCCTAAACGACGACGTGCATGAAGTCCAAAAGATTGCAGACATTAATTCAAATTGTAATCTCTGCATGGACACAGAACTGTAATAACTAGAGACCAAAAGAAAACATACACTAACAATCTCCAAATAACATTGTTACGTATCGTAACATAAGAAAAGACTAATCACAATAAGTTATTCTGAGACATGGAAAACCATTCTAATAAACTCCAGTTAACCTCATAGGTACTAAGAGGAAATATCAATGGTGGAATCAAATGATTTATTTAAACCTTGATGTCTAGTACTACTACTGGAACTTCACCAATTAAAAAAACGCTTTTACGTCACATATCTTGAACGTTTGGTATTACTAATGGCACAGAAGATCAACAGGTGTTATGTGCTGTATCCTCGTTCGTCGATATGTGAATATCTGGTTCGTACTACAGGAGAGGAAATGTAGCAAGTGACATAGGTCTTTCGGTAACCAACATATCAGAGGTCATGTAAGTCCTGCCGTAATTAAAGCAATTAACGTGTCCAACTAATGGTATATGTGAAGAAATCAAGTCAAACATTCTATGAAAACGAGACCTATCACCATATTATCAGCTGTTACTTAATCCAGCAATAAATGTACATAAGATGAAAGTTTATTAAAATGAAAATGCGGAAAAAATTTGGTCACAAGTATACCTTGTTTTGAGGCCATATAGGAATATATTTACAGAATTCTGAATCTTTGCAAAACCAGGAGCAAGCAGAGAACAGTCACTACTAGAATAAGAGCTTTGGTCTGATTCAGTATTAGCTATGGTAGTCTGATCACATGTTAACGCTTGAGAACTAGAAGCTATATCAATCAATAAATTCTCATTTTTAATCGAAGGGATATTTTGAGACTTTTTACACCACGGTTGATGTTGTAAGAGATGTCGAATATTTAGGGCAGTGATGGATGGAAGTAACGACGGGACTAAAACAGGATCTAAAATGAAAAAGTAAAACTTTAAGTGTAAACAAACTTAGATTAAACAAAAATTCTTAGTGAACCTTTTAAGTGGAGTTGGGTGGTGACTAACAATGGAATGCAGAACGCACATTTCATCCTGTTTGAGATTCATCAGCTGAATACACCTGTAACCGATTTGATGTTTACTTCAAGAATCGAATCCAGTACCGTTTACTCCAAACCCCGTAGTGTTATCTATTTAATTAGAGTCCAAATAGCCACTGGTTTGTGCAACGGGGTGAATTTCTTTTATTTGTATTGGTTGTTTCAATCTTATTACTGATGGCTTAGGACAACAACCTAACAGTCTTTCTTTGCTTTATGTTAATCGCCTCGATACTACCATTAAGTCACAACCATTTTTTTATAGTGAACTATCATAGAAATGAATAGAATTATACAAAATTTAATAACAATAAACCAACTTAAATACTAAGCTAAGATGTACACTTATGTAAAGAACGTCTAAAATAATACTGTGTTTCAGACAGCTAAATAAATGCTCATTATCAAAAAGATTGAACAAGTTCAGGGATGCTTATAAACGAGTTTATGTATTTAACAACATAAATGAAGAGTTGAATTTTACAACTTATTAATAAATTTAAGCAAAGCTTAAATAAACTTTCTTAGTTCGAAAGTAAACATTTGTTCATCATAATGGTTGAAATAGATAAACCTGAAAAAGAACAACAACCAGACGTAAATCGATGAAATGAATCAGTCATTAGTTTAACTAACTGTTAAGATAGACTAATAGTACTACTTCAAGTCTAATTGTAGTAACAAAGACTTGTTTAATCTTCAAGAAAAAACAAGATTCAGTTGGAACTATCTATAAAAAAAACATAGAATTGATTCATCACTCTAAATTGTTAAGATCTTACGAATGGAGATAGAATACTGAGCTCGAAAGACAAGAAAACATAACAGAACTAACTGGACAAAGTTTGCCTAGATTCTATTTCGTAAAACGTTACGTGAGGTAACATATTTATTTGTAATATCCACACACTTGATTAATGTATGCAGTTTAGATTATGTGAATACAGAATTTTATCAAACCTTCACCTATCATTTTGAAATAGATGAATACACTTATGTTTAAATTGTAATTACCAAGTCCAGTGCATGTGTAGATGAATTAGCCATACAGAAAAAGGGTAATTATTGAGGTGATCTTTTGGAGAAAAAAACAACTTTTAAAAATGATAATGCTATTTGTTTGTTGCATTCGTACCCACAACTCTGCCCAATCTGATACAAACTTTTTCGCCTTCCCTTTTTAACCAGAATTTTTATAACTAGCTTCAATTGCCTCATAATCTCAACTACTGAAATTACTATAATGTCCACAAAAACCCCCTCTGATATTTTTCATAACTATCATCATAATGTTGACAGTAATTTTAAATCGTTGTGACAGGTAACAACTTGAACGAGAAGCCCATAATTGTATTTTATGTTCTTACGTCTCTATGTAAACGACCTAATAGATAGTCAACATTCGCTTAGTTACAGAATCGACGGTAAAAACATAAAGAGTGGGTCTATGAAATACAGTCGATGAACAAATAATTCTATCAGTTTAAGTACTTGCTTGCAACGTAAGCACATGACTTATTGAAGGTTAGTATGGGTTTATAAATATGAGAAAAACCAAGGAATTCAAAATATAAACCCTTTAATAAACATCATATAGGCGGGAAAAGTATACGCTTTAACATCATGTGTAACATGGACTAAAAAAACTTGAGCGAACATCGATATAAACACTGTCTTATTTTCCACCTAAAATAATGGAGTTAACTGAAACCTATACCGTACGTGTAACCATCAACAGCTCCACACAAAATCCACATATTCCTAATCCTCCAAAAAGAAAATCAGAAATCCAAAGGAATGCTAATCGGAAGCATATCTAATTTAGACCCACGAACCACGTGGGTAAGTAATTAAAACGCGAGAGCAAAACATACTATAAATAACGAGTCAGCTAAGGTATTTTTGACATGAAGAAATATATGCAATAAGTTAATTCACTGTAATTTATAAATATACAGAGATATAATATCAACTACTAAGTCAAAAAATAGGATTGTAAAAACATTATAAATCAATTATTTGACAAATACACACTAACTAATTCACCAAAAATAGCTTTCGAGCTTTCTAATTTTTTTTCTTACTTTCTGCCAATATAATACTTACGTTTTTATAAGCGACTAACGTATTGGTTTGATAACCCATAGATTTCGACATTAGTATGCGAACCTATATGTAACAGTGTGGCAAACTCTAGGGTTTTTAGTCACAAAGGATTGACTAATTTTGTTTCACGATTATGCGTTTTAATGTACTTAGAAATACTCAATATGAAAGGTTTGAAATCGTTTTTCTTAAGAAAACAAATCATGAGTATTTAAGCATATTGGTTAATTACCTTGAATGTCAGGTCTATCTGGCAATGGACTTTGAATGTAAAATTTTGAAATCGGATCTTGTAAAGTAGTTCCACGAGTAATTGTATTCCCAAGGTTTACTGACTGATTAGAATAATTAACAACTGTCATTTCATAATTAGCTTGACCAGCTTGTACAAGTCGTAAAGCACCATCTCCACCCAAAAGAATACACAAAGCTCTATCTGATAATTTAGTAACAACAGAAACGCAATCAGCACAAATTAAGGAATGATGAACTGATACACCAAATTCAATCATACATAAAAGGAGCATCTGTAAGAAATGTAAAATCATGCATAGAGTGTTATAATATATAATTCAACCCTACAGAAATGGTTACAATATACATGGAGACAATACAAAATTTCAATTAGAAGATTATGCTTGATTATTAATTGGTAAGTATATCATCAATACATATGTACTGTCTACCTGGTTAGTAAAATATGGGGTAAATAAGAACACTGATACGCTCAGTTTTACTTTACAGCAATGAGTTCACAGTTTGTCGCCGTCACACATAATAATATACCATACATTAAGAAAGCAAAACTAAGACAATTCCAATTTTAAGAAAAGGAATCGAAATTTCAACTCCATACACACATATGACAGGATGACAAAGAAAGAAAATAAGACGAAGTTCAGTGGAGACGCTCTACAGAAATAACGCTTTTTAAGAGATTAAAAGAAAGCTGAAAGTCTACACAAAATAAAGTTGTTTCAAGGTACGCGTTACTTTACAAAAAGTAACTGGATTGTTTATTCTTGCGTGATGAATTAAAACGACTATTCAGCTAACGGGTGTGGTTTTTAAAAAACCATTTGGACATAGAGAATATTAGCATAAAAGCTACAATAACAAAATATTTTCCACCACTACCTTTATTCGCCTTTTTCTCTGTAAAATAAATCGCTACCAATTAATGCTACTCAAGTAGTTGTCAGTTATTATCCCAATTTCATACGTTCACCTACCCTTTCTTTCGTCCGTTTTTATTAAATTTTATCAATCATGTTATAATGAACTGATAAGAAAATTAAACCATGTAGACTAACTTACCTGTCTTGGTTCCCAAACACATACGGAATCAAACTGCAAACTAAGAAGTCGAGTAAAAGTCGATAAACCCGGTGTAAAACATAAACGTCGAATATTCAATGAAGGATGTACAACAGGAGTATTTGTTTCCAACATTATATCTGGGTCGAAATATTGTTCATTAAAAGTACCAAGGGCTTGATCAAAATAATTTGATTGTGACTTTGAACAAGTTGTTCTAAACAATGTTCTTTTACTATGTAAATCTCGAACAGCTACAAAACCATCTAAAGTGCCAAAAGCAACCAAATCAGAGAACCAAGCAACTGAATTAATTCGATTTAAACTAACAGTTGGTAGACCGTTTAAACTATAATTTTACAAATAAAAAACGTAGAAAATGTGTTCGCAATTATGTGATAAACTAAAATAATAATAAACCATATTAAATGTAAAATGATTTGAAACTAAAAAATAATAACTAACTGATGTGTTTTCTGCTTGCTTACTTACTTACCCCTTGTTGGAGATGATAGATCCCCAGAAATTACTTGCTAAACGTCTCATTTTTGTAATTTTATTTTGGAAATTTGAATTTCTCATTTTCGCGCCAAAAGTGCCAACTTCATCTTTAGTTTGTAGTTTCCACTTGGAAGGACCTTAAATGTCATTGATTCGTTTCCTTTTTTAGTACGCTATTCTGTGAAGTTTACCAAGAACATTTTTGTACAGTAGATATACGCCTGAGTTATGTGTCTGCTCATTCGTGCTCCTGACTGCTTGTTGAATATACATATCCCTTGGTTGAATCTGGCTTTCTCCATCTAGTTAGGGCCCAGGGGAGCAATGGAATAACCTGGCTTGTCCTATTCCCAGAGCCTCTCCATCAAGTGAGATTGGATTGTTCTCCGTGTTGCATTTGAGGATCTTGGTTTTCCCCTTGTGTATGTTGAGGCTTATTACTTCAGAAGCTACTGCTAGACTAGCTGTCTTCGTCTATATTTGTTCGTGTGTATGGGATAGAATGGACAGGTCATCTGCGAAGTTCAACTCTTCTAGATGATTTCGAGCTGTCCATTGCAATCCATTCATGCCCTGAAATGTGGGTTTTATGTAATTCAGTCAAACACTAGATAAAAGAGAATGTGAGAGAGTAAGCAGCTTTGTTTGACACCGGTCTTCACCTGGAATGCAAATGCGAGCTGCCCTGAGTTCTTTATTAAATTGTATTATTAAGAAAAAAATTGGCGTAGAGAAATTGGACGATAAAGTATCTGAAATAAACGAAATGCATTGTACAGTCCAAACGAATACTTAACTATGATGTAAATAATCCAAATTTACGGTTTACTTTTGACAGAGTGAAGTAAACATACCACACAATTGACGAACTCGAGAAGGCGAAAAGTTTAATTAACTGTCGTACATATTTAGAATGTTTTTAAACAGAGATAATGACAATTCCTACAATATAGTCAAATGTTAGGCAAATGGAGTTATTCAATAGGAAACTGTTCTGTTTCCAACCACCTGGTATCTCAACATAGTGAACGCGATATCACGTTTTTTAAACCGTTAACTAGACTGCATCTTGATCAACTGAATTCAACAGGCACTAAGACCTAGAAAAACATGGCACCGGTTGGAAATTAGTGATAAATCAACTGATAGTCAAATACGTATCCATGAATTCAACTACTGAGTAGTGTTTTATCTCACAAAAAATTTTTGAAGGACATAAAGAATAAAATCTATAGAGATAAGATAATGGTAGACAACCTCGTGAGCACACACAATCCCACGTATAACACATTATAAAGACTCGCCGATTTCAAGATACTCCCTGACTATATATGTGGTATGATATTCTAGTTGTTTAATTAAATTTGAAATGGTTTTGAATTATTGCGTTGTTCAGTGGCTATTATGATTGGCTATCTGGACTCAATAGCTAAGTGGATAACGCAATGGCATTTGAAGCGAATGGCACAAAATGTAAGTTCCTCAGTAAATATCAACTCCGGGATCCAGGTATATCCAAATAACGGGTTCTAAATAGGACGGAACGTACGTTCTGGATTTTAATGCTAACCACATTCCATCTATTCTATATTCTAGTTGTGTTTTTACATACAGTGATACCTTTAACAATCCACTTTCTAATTATTTTATTTATATCTTTTATTTTGACATTTAACTTATGAAACTATAATTTCACATTTTTTAATTTTATTTGTTCTAACGATAGCTTATGTTGACGTTTACACAATTATGTACCAATACCCTAAATAATATTTAATAATTGTTTAAGCTGGTATCTTTGGTTGCGATTACACATGTTACACCTAGTGAAAAGCCTGAGTGGCTATTCATAACATTGTTAACAGTATATATCAGTAAATAATGTATTTTACATTGTATTTGAAACTGAAGTGCTATCTACTGAATCATTATTCACTGCAATCAAGCGAATATTACCATCCGAAGTGCATATAATACATGATTCACGAGTACGAGCAGATTCTTTTGAATGAACATAGTCCTCAGATCTAAATTAACAGATATAAAACGAATAAAAATGTTTTAAATAAAGGAATGGGAAGATAAATATTGTGTAAGACAAACGTACACGTTTAGAACTATATTTCTTACACATGAATACATAAGCAGTAACTAAAAATTGCTAAATAAACCTGGTACATGTACTGCTTAGAAAAAAAAATAATTCAAACCAATGAAAGAGGTGATACTTAGCAATCAAAACTGATCATTAAACTAAATATCATCTAAATGAATTGATCCAAATTTCTATGCAATTGTAGATTGATCAATTAACGTTAGTCTTAGAGAGAAATATAAACAAAGTGTTAAATAAACTGAATCTCTATTAACATAGATGAAATAAATTATTCAATATTTTAAAAAGAGAATACAATGACCAGAAAAGTCGTACATCGACTAGTAACCGACTTTTTTTATTTTGTGTGTTTCAGTGACCGTAAGTTTCAATGTTGCACAAAAATCACATACGTACAAGTGCATGTTACTGGGAAATAATCACACTTCGAAAGAACAAGTACATTTTCGCATCTACCATGTATCAACTTTGTACTACATACCCTAAAAAGTGGCTTTTAGAAAGACAGTCGAAATACATTTTGTTAGCAACTTTATGGTACTTATCGGTTATGTCATTTTGCCCTACTACTCCTGTTATATACTGCAGCCGATAGCCTAATAAGATTTTGTTTTTAAAAAAAAAGCTGTGACAAGGAAAATCAGTAAACTGTACAATTAAATATACTGACATGATGCTCAAAAACTAGGTCTAACAATCAGGCCTTAATTACTTGGGGAGTGAGTGACCTAAAAACTAATTTCCTCCAACCATGGATAACAATTCATCATGTTTATTTTATGCATAACCATGTCATTTTATTACATAAAAAAATTAATTATATTCAGATCACTAGCTGATCTAAGTTTGACAACCATCGCAAACCTGGATGCACTGGACAGTTGTTATTGTTTGACAATCCTAAATTCACATACTTTAAACGATGTACTTTGCCCTTAACCTGGCCATTTTTCGGATTATTAATTTGGATACATAATTGTAGAACCTGAAGAGAATTTATCGAAAAGAATATTCTTCGTTCAAATATTAGTCTTTTATTATGAGAATACCTTAACCCTAAACCTGACCATAATGGGTACACTTATGTTGTTCTTTTGATGCAGTTTAACAAAATATTAATCACGAATATTACTTAATAATTGTATATTGAATGCAATATTAAAGGTTTCTATTTACTAATATAACAGCTAAGTCTTTTGAAATAAAAAAAGAAAAATCAGTCCTTTTTTATATTAAATAATGAACCCACTTAGAACTCTTGTCTGAAATCTTACGACTTCGTTGATATTTCGTTGGCGAATGACACCAGTCCTACAAAAACGAAATGAATAAAATAAATATCATGAATTTTGTCAAAACACATGACAAAAAACTATGTAATTGGAAACTTAAAGATGTATGTTCAACATTCGGTGACTAAATTGTAAAAATAGAACTATTTTGTAAGTGTTAAAGATATAATTTGTTTGACAAAATCAAATAAGGTGAAATGAATGAAATAACAGGTGCATGTCAACAACTGAAAGTTATACCACATTGATGAAAACACCTAAGAGAACTAAGAGATTATTTCAACAGGTAAACAATCTTGCGTTGCTACTTGTGGGATTTATAAAACTGAATTTTGTCAGCGCTTTATAAAAAAACTGTATACATCATCTGCATACTTGAAGTCGATGATAAGTGAATCCTCAAGTAGGGATTCAGATTAACATATCATTTTTTTAAAAATAGAGGGGAGTGGAGTCTTAATGAACTCCACTTGAGGCATATTATTTTCTATCAGTAAACAAACGAATTATGATCGACTACATAATTATTGTCCTAAAATACCAGCAAGACTAATTAAAATGTTCCAAACATAAATGTGAATTACCAAAGCAACAGCTGTTATATCCGGTAGCAAAGGTAGTTTAACTATTAAAGAAGAAGTAGATAGTTTCCATATTTCTACCGGACTCTTACGAATTGCTATACCAACGTATTGACTGGAAATATTTAAAAGATATAAAAAAAGAAATTTTAACTTAATTTCTAAAGTTAAAAACAATTTCAATAAATCTAAAAAGTCACCTCACAAGTATTTTTATTTCGAACTATTAGTGTCACCGCTGAAATTCAGAGTTATAAGAAACATTAAAAAATAATAAATTAACTCATTTACCAGGTATTTGGGTACAACTCACACTCTATGTGTGAGGGTCAATGATACTACCTCTATGCTTAGACCGAAGTAGGCGAAGAGTTCAAACGTGAGACAGTGGCCGAACGTTAAACGCCTTAACCACTAAGCGATTGCTCCACTTAACATTGAATACTGAACAAAATTGTTAGTGATATGATGGAAAAGATACTGTGATAAGAATATTCTGTATGAAGCATAAGATCCAACGTTAAAAACTGAAATGATAGAGGCCTAATAATAATTCTATAAATAAATCGAACCTAATCTATATTATTCACAAAGTACACAATGTTTCAAAATTTCGCATAATTGAATGGCTTTTTAACTATTCTTTAACATCAGTTTCATTGAAAACCACTTATTAGAAACATGTTTTCATCACTGAGGGAAAAATGCTATAATTTAACTAAATATACCATTGTATAACATGAGCAGTCATATTAGTTTAACTAGCTCTTAAAACAAATACAACTTAGTAGTATAGGAAATATAGTGGCAAACATTTTGCATCCTGTCAAAAACAATCAAGTAGGAGTTTGTGAACTCAAATTTTAGGCACAATTTCTTGTATGAAAATTAGTGATGCTGCCGATGTGCCCGAACCAAATTGAGTGGAGCAATGCATGAGTTCGTAACCTAACAATTCAGAGTCAAGTATTTTAATCACTAAATAATCGTTCCTCTATTGTGTTACTTACAAACTCTCATATTTACTAAAACTATATTTATGTAGATGAAGAAGAGACAATATACTTCAAAGCCTTAGTATTGAATATAATTTAAATTTGGTCTAAAATGACAAATTGCAGAAATTAAACAATATAACACGACAAATAAACAGAGAAATACAACAAATGAGTAACTGCAAGAAAAAGGAATGATTAAACATTCACTAAATTATAAGCTTATTTCAACAGTTAACAAACTATGCGTAGTAGTTTACAAAAACTCCGCCTGTAGTCCCTCCGGGGGCTACTGCCGGTCCCAAGCCCGGATAAGGGAGGAGAGTTGGGCGAGCGGTTAGCGACCCCATCCTGTAGAAAACTAACTCGCTAAAAAACGCTAACCGGAAAAAAAAGTAAGCAGTTTACACAAAAAAATTGTTCACTATAGGCTGGTTTCATCCTTTTTTCCAGAATTAATTGCAGAAAACTACAAAATAAATATGCCCAAAGATTATAATTTTTTATTGCCGATTAAATTTTACTAGTCTAAGAATTAAGGTGAAACTGCCAAGTCAAGCTATTTGACATCACAATATCCTAGATTCAATCTATTACCACTTACTTGAAAAGTAAACGATAGTTATTTTGAATTTTACCTTCGATACCACATTAACAGCTAATTAATTGTATTTAATATCCAGTTAGTCAATGTGATTTATATTCACAGTATAGACATTTCTATGATACTAGCTAACTCGACAACGTTAAGGTTTGTTCTCACCTTCAATCAACCAATTATATACAGAATAAGATATCTATTCCTCTTTAAAAATATACAACATGAGTCCTAAAAGATGCAAACGGTTCAATATTTACTAATAATAATCAGAAACGGTAAAAATACTGATTCCCATAAATTATTCTTTACTTTAAGTGGCTAACACAAAGAATGTCAATTGGTCCTTCAAAAAGATTTTCTTGATCGTTGGATCCAGATAAAAGTTGACTACCGGGAACACTGATTCCTATGCGAGGACCTGTCTTGTCAATATTTTGATTTGAAATATCACGAAATATACGCATATAACCTGTTGATAAGTCCAGTGTAGTAACAACATTTCTTCCTATTGTATTTGTTCTATTCGATGAATTTTCAGTAAGAGAACTTTGGTGACCATCTTTGGATTGCCAACCATGAACAATTAAACCTAATGAATATTCACATGATGATGGTCTCGAAGAATCTTCACTGATTTGTTTATTTTTATAAATTGTTCGAGGTATTGCTATCCATTCAATTCCTTTGATAGGTACCGGTAGTACACGATATTCACGCCATAATATAGCTGATGATACATCCCAAATCTAAAAATAACACAAATAAACATGTATTTATATCAAATGTTATAACACGGAAAAACTGAAGGTGACAAAATTATAGTAAATATGACTATGACAAAGTTGTTGGTGTTTTTTTAAGCAAGATTTTTTCTCTACGAGATGGGGTTGCCGACCCCATGTCCAACCCTCCTCCTTTACCAGAGCTTGGGACTGGTAGTAACTCTAGAAGGGCTACAGGCGGATAGAGAAGCTCTGGAAGAGGTGGAACCTTCCAAGTACATGGAAAGCATAATCGATGAACAAGGAGGATCCGATGCAGACGTAGACGTAAAGGCAAGGATCGGCAAAGCAAGAACAGAATTCCTAAAGTAAAGGAAATATAGATCTCAAAACAACTATCAGCCAACATCAAAGTAAGAATATTCAATACGAACGTCAAAACAGTTAGTTCTACCGCACGGAGCTGAAACCTGAAGAACTACTACAGCCATCATCAAAAAGGTATAAGTATTTATAAACAATTGTCTGCGTAAGATACTGAATGTCCATTGACTGGACACCATCAGCAACAGCCGACTATGGGGGAGAACACACCAACTCCCAACTGGGGAAGAAATTAAGAAAAGATGTTGGAAGTAGGTAAAACAAACATTGAGGAAATCATCAAACTGCATCACGAGGCAAGCTCCGACTTGGAATCCTGAAGGGAAACAGAAAAGAGGAAGGCCAGAGAATACATTGTATCGGGAATTGGAAGTCGAAATGAAAAGGATGAATAACAAGTGGAAAGGATCGCTCAGGACAGGGTTGGATGGAGAGTGTTGTTGGGCGGCCTATGTTCCTCCACGAGGGGTAACAGGTGTAAGTAAGTATGACAATGATGAGCGCTTAAGTACATTATCGATTCACAGTAAACGTTAAAATAAAACTGTGATATGCAAAATAAAATCTACAAAGTAAATATTACACCAAGATTCTACGAAGGTTTCCCAGTTAGAATCACTTGGAATTTGGGTAGATATTTGAACAAATTAACTGCCTACAATTTGTATCTGCAACATTAAAACTGAAATTTTTTACAACTTATGTGTAAGCACATATCATTAATAACATGATAGAGATTTAGCTCATTATTCTCAAACTAATTAATTGATCAACGACTTTTTTTTATACCTATTGGCTATTTTGTGTGTATAACTGATGGTTCTTAATTATATATTTTGGTATTTTGATTTGATAGGGCAGCCCAAATTGTCATCAAATGAAAAGTTTAAGCTAAGTTAGCTAACAGTATCTGAAATTGATTCTCTTTTGATGTGGCATCCTTTACACTCTATACTTTTTATATTAATTTAGTCACAGAATATAATTGCTGCTTTTATTAATGCTATAAAGCACAACAATGAAGCTTCAATATCAATCCAGTATGACAGTGATGATTATGAATTCAAGTAAAATAGCTTGAAAATAAGTTAACATTTAAAATACACTGTTGCTCTTAAATTTATTGGTACAGTCGGGGATTGATATGTCCTCAAATCATCTTGAAATCAGCTTCATAAGTGATAAAATGGACATCTGAATGGATGGAATCTATCTTGATTGTAGAGTTATTTGGACAATAATCTTCAATAGTCTCATTTTTACCATAACTATATGATTCTTTTTCTCATTTATTTAAAATGTTATCATTTTATGCTGAGAATTCCAGCTTGTACTAAACATATAATATTGAATACAACCAATATCGTTATGGTTTTATTTCTTGTGTCATACTTCTGTTGGACTATTATTGTGTGACTCATTCTTTGTATTGTTAGTAAAATAGATAATAAACACCATCACAACGAATACACAATTTATAGTAACCTAACATTTATGTGAAAAATCCTTACGATAAATCGGAACTTCTTCAGAGAAATTTACCATTTTAATCAAAAGAAACACTTCAATTTTGATGAAGCAACAACTATCACCACTTTTAACAAGAAAACTTCATTTTACCGTTTCAAATTGCTGAAATCAAGTATTCAATGCAGATCGAGTTTCTTCAATACGCGATGAATCAGTAAAGAAATTTATCTAGTTGGAACAAGTTAATCACTCAGTAGTAATGTTTCTTTAAATGAAAAGTTTTGCGAATAACGTGAATGAGTTGAAAGTCATTTCTGATATGACAATCAGAAATAAAAAATTATTGATCGTTTTGTGATCCTCATTTTTATCAATGATTAGTCGTTCGTTACTTGACAAGTTATAACATCTTGGTTGAATACCTTACATAAGCGTTATAAACTTAATTTCATAGTATATTCAGTCAGTTGGCCAGTGCTTTTGTCTCCTAAAATCTATTCGGTTGAGATTTGAAATGGTTTCATGAGCAAATTATCGGTTTGTTCATCTATGCTGCATTAAACTTACCAGTCGACTGTCATATTATGATAATTTCATTATAAACTGGTGTCACATAAACTAGTAGAGTAAACCATATCAGAAGTAAAAGAATAACTCATTGATGACATTGGATAAGTATAGTGCTGGATTGCCCCCAAATGCCCTGGTACGGCCGAGAGTGGGGAGAGTCCGCTCTCCCTCGCGAAATGCTCTCACATGGCCACGCGTATATAGCCTCTGCCAGGGAAGTCCTACTAAAACTAAAACAATATGAATTATATTTTCAATGATTGGCAGTAAATGGATAGTAAATTTGTTAGCGTAACATAGATTGGATTAAATCACGCTCAATGCGCGCTTGAGTCGGCGCACGCTCATTGGCTAATTCTTATCCAATCAGCGCTAGTCGATACTTAGAGAACACTCTAGAAATCTTCTCATATGAAAACTATAAATATACTAACGTTTTTCTTATTGTGCTTCTTACTTTCATCTAACCTTGTTATTTGGAATATAATCTCTTTCCTGTCCAACCGTGTTCTGATTTGAGGACTTGTCGAGTGAATTGGTTTCCAAAAACACTAAGCAATAGGAATAGCTTGGTTGTAATAAGACAGAATTATAACAAAATTAATTTGTGATCTTACGTGATAAAAGCAAAAACAGAAATATTGGTTAATATTTGAGCGTGAAAATAGTTAATTAAACGGTAGATACATAATTTTATTACAATAAGTATGTAACTTAAAGAACTTGTGTAGATCTCATATTGTGATGTGTGCTACTTATATCGACATAAGTAGTATATGATGTTAGTCTGGAACAGAATGTCTGGAAGCAGAAAGACAAGAGGATCGAACAGTAAAGAATGGAAACAGAATGTGATTTGTATGAAAATGCAAGAACAATGAAGTCTGAGTCATTTTAAGACAATTGATGGACATCTTGCAAATTAAGCATTTACTATATGATTGTTAGATTTTATTAACAAGTTCTGTAATTTTCTGTCAAATACATTCGATTGTCCCCACTCGTGTTCTTGTTCACCACAATATCAAAGCATCTAATTATGCTTAAATATAACTTTTATAGAACTCAGAACAACTACCAACCAACATCAAAGTAAGGATACTCAATACGAACGTCAAAACAGTTAGTTCTACCGCACGGAGCTGAAACCTGAAGAACTACTACAGCCATCATCAAAAAGGTATAAGTATTTATAAACAATTGTCTGCGTAAGATACTGAATGTCCATTGACTGGACACCATCAGCAACAGCCGACTATGGGGGAGAACACACCAACTCCCAACTGAGGAAGAAATTAAGAAAAGATGTTGGAAGTAGGTAAAACAAACATTGAGGAAATCATCAAACTGCATCACGAAGCAAGCTCCGACTTGGAATCCTGAAGGGAAACAGAAAAGAGGAAGGTCAAAGAGCACACTGTATCGAGAATCGGAAGTAGAAATGAAAAGGATGAGTGGCAACTGGAAAGAACTGGGAAGGATTGTCCAGGACATTTTTCGGTGGATAATTCTGATGGGAGCCTTAAGCTCCTCCCCAAGGGGTAACAGGCGTAAGTAAAAGGTTGAAGGACAATCAAGAAACCCGAGTATTTTGTAACTTTCTCACAGTTAAAAACATATGACGTGAACAATGATTAGTCAGAAAGCATACAAAAAGATTCCTAAAAATTGTACGATGGCATTGCACCAGATACTAGTTAAATAATGAAACGTGAACCATATAAAGTAAAATAATGTAACTAAGTAATCATTGAAGTACATGAAACGAAAACTGAAAAAGTGCAGTCACCTGGATGTCACCACGATTATTCCCAACAGACACTAATGGACCACGAATTGAGTCTACCATTGAAAGTCCCATCAGATTCGGTGGACATACGCGACACAGTGTTGGCTCTGATCTACTTGGAGAGTATAGGCCATTTAATTCGAGATACAACTTCATTGGAGGCCTACAGCAAAAATTTAAACACCAAGCATATAAAGCGTTAAATTATCTCAAATATAAACTATTGGTTTCCTTTGCAGTACTCACCTAAAATTTACCCAGATTTAATGAAATACATTTGAAATCATGATAAAAAACCTTAAAATGTAACGGTTAGTATTTCACCATTAGACCTTGAAATTTTCACTATGGTCAAAGCTACTTACCCTTTTTACAAAATCACATATAAAGGCAATTTTATTTAATTATTTGTTAAATATGTGGGACGCCACATTCCTAACTGCCTTATCAAATCACCTTAATTCCATGATTGTATAGTATAAGTGTTTATCTTCTTAAGGTAGATATCAAAAGATTAGTACCAAGACTAGAATTTCTTAGCGAATAATCGTGAATTGATGGCTTCAGTCACCTAGTCAGTAACCTGTAACGTACCACTCAACACATACGTGTATCTGTTCAACTTGCCACACCACATTAGTACAGTGAGATAAATTTGTCAAAGCAAACGCTAAAATAATAAAAGTAGTAACATTGTCAACAGTATTATGAAAAATTATGTGAAAGAATAGAAAGTACAAAAAGATTTCGGGACTTTGAATATAAGGGGAGAAGGAAAGCGAATAAACTTGAGCCATCGAGAATGATTCTGAGCCATGTCAACCAACGACTCCAACCACTGGTTATGGTAATCATGCAGACTCCAGCCAGGTGGTTTGCACCTACCTACATGACCTAGTTGAATTGTCAGTGACTTTATGAACTGATGGGACTTTTTGGTTTGGACACCCCTTAGCTTACTTCCATCTTATTCTTACACCAGCCATCATCACGCATCCAGGTAGCCAGTAGATGGACATACGCAATACGTGTCCTAAGCACCTCACATGACCAGGATTCTCTGTCTCATCAACTGACCTGCAATCCTCATACAGTACTGTGTCTAACCTCAGAAACACTAAAATACAAGAGCAATTGTTTGAAGCCACTTATAATCCAATACTAGTAATCTACAAATGCTTTCTATTTTTAAAGGACTACTTTCATAGCCACCAAATGCCTTGACATGGTTGAGGGTGGAGAGAGTCTATTCTCCCTTTCGAAATGCTCTAACATGGCCACGCGTATACAGCTACTGTGAAAGAAGTTCTACTCATCGGCTTCTCGCAGCGGGGGTGTTGTTTACGAAATTGAGGGGACAAAAAAAGAATGCCCGACGTTTTAACCGGGTTAGTGGATACAGTGGGAAGTGCTACAAATCCGCTCACCATATATCACTTTGAAAAGCTCCTTTTATGTGAGTTTATCTGAGGACCCTGTGGCATATTTCTCTGGTCTTGCTGGCAATGGTGTCGCGCTTAGCGCTAGAGCTGGGGCAGCACTGACCGGATGGATCCCCATTAACAGCAGGTTATTTACTGTTAGATTAGAAAGTTCCATCAAAGTGAGAAGAAATCGGTATGAGAAACGATGTCCTCTCGTCCTCTGTCTACGCTCCGACAGACTGCAGCCCGGATGCGATTAAGGATGGGTTTTACCATCAATTAATTGTCCCTCTACGGAAGTGCGTTCAACAGATATTGTGGTACTAGCCGGAGACTTGAATGCTCAGGCCAGGCGTCTAGGAACAGAAGAGAGTCGTTTAGGTGGCCGATGGGGACTTGTTGGTCGCAGGTCAGATAAAGGTGACCATCTACTGCAACTGTGCGAAAACTACAATCTGCTTTCGGCTAGCACTAACTACCGAAACAGTCATCGCTGATGTGCTAGCTGGCTTCCTCCCTATGAATCTCAAACCTGGACTCAGATTGATCACATCGCGATCAGCTACCGCTGGTGTGGTTGTGTACAAGACTGCCGCTCCTTTTGGAATACCTATCTGAACTCTGATCATGCCCTAGTCTGGGCCAATCTTACCTTACTTTTCAGTGACCAACGAAGTGACCGCCACCAAATGATTGATGTCAGCAAGCTGGTTGCAACTTCTATTGCTAGTAAGTATCGAACCGAGCTAGCTTCTAGGCTAGCTACCATTCCACCGAAAAGTATGGATGAGCATTGGTTGCAATTGCATGACGCCATGAAAATGGCGAGTACAGTCAGTTGTGGGTTCGCGAAACGTCCCGCTTATAAGCACTTGATTTCTTCAGGTTCCTTACAACTCGTTGAAACCCGTCAGTTTACTCCGGGTGACCGTGAGTCTGACCACAAACGAAGGCCGTTACGTAATGAAATCGGGCAAAGCTTGAGTAAGGACCGAGAAGCCCAGTGTTCGAAACGTGCTGACGAGTTGGAAACAACAGTCGCTTCCGGTAACTGCCGGAAGGTATTTCAACTCATCCAGGTTATTATTTACTATTTGAACACATAAATGTTGGTACAAGAGGGCACCAAATATATATGCGCCACACAAAACAATGAGAATTCGGGGAGAAAAAAAAAGAAGGTAAGGAGCGTAAAAAAAAAGAACAATGACGAACAGATTAGTGTAAGGTAGTGTAATAATAATAATAATAATAATAATAATAATAATAATAATAATAATAATAATAATAATGGGGGGAACGGAAAGGTACAATCAGAAGAAATCTTTCAGTTAACGATTCTCTGTGTCCGATTATCGTTGTCTCCGAAGGATTGCTGACATCCAGTGGCGACACCATGTTAGTAATGCAGAGGTCCAGCACCATGTATTCGGGCACAGAGATGATAACTTAGTTGGTCACGATCTTGAAACATCGGCTTCGGTGGCCTGGACATTTCCTATGAATGTCATCCCAGAGAACTCCACGTCGTGCATTATTTACCGACTATGGAATTTGTTGGAAAAAGCGGAGAGGTGGTCAGTGTACGATATAGTGTCTTGGTATGAAGGAATACTGTACAGGACCGGCTTCTGTTGGTCCTTCACGACTCCCTGGCTAGGGGCCGAGAGACGGTGCGACACAGTGGCTTGAGACGTTATCAGATATGGATCTGAGTATAAACCAGTGGCGATCCTGTTGTAACTTCGTTTTACTTTTTTCGTATAAGTGTGAGTAATTTCTTTATCCGAAAGAATTCTTTCTGGTTGTATCTTCCCTAAATGAACTGCTTCTCCAATTATTATTATTATTATTATTATTATTACTTCACTTTCCTACACTAATTTCTGTCAGTTGTTTATCTTTTATTATAGGCACTTTACATTCTCTATCTCTTCACATCACTGTTACTGTGTGGTGCCCCCTTTGTACCAATGTTTGTGTCCAAATAAATAAATAAACATAGCCAAAAACTAAACAGGAGCGAACTTCTGAGTAGCATACTTGTCCTTGATTCTGCAGACGGACCTAGCGCCTACATTAAAAGTGATGCAACTCGGCAAAACCCAACCGCACTTTCGGGACCCATTCTGAGATTGTATAAGGCGCTGAAATTTAACAATTCACGTTAGGTTTACGATGGAATTTTTAGTATCCAAGCTGAGCAACGAGTTTAGTTATTTCAGGTCTTAATACTCCAAACAATGGATAAATCTTATAGGTAAATATGGATAGTGGCTAGCAGTGGGATCCGGGATGTGTGTCTCGTCTTATTTTGAACCCGTCAGCTGGGCATGCCTGCATCCCAGAGTTGATGTTCACTCCGGAAATCGAACCCAGTACCGTTTGGTCAAAATGCCATCATGTTATTCACTTAGCTACCGAGTTCAGATAGCCGGGAGGGAACACCAACTCTGGGATGTAGGTACATCCATCCGACGAATCTGTAACAGGATGAAACGCCCATTCTGGATTCCACTGCTAGCCACCATCCATCTTTGCTTATAATGCTTGTGACTCGAGGCGATTTCGAGGCAATCCGCACAGGATGCACATATGCTAATCAATTGCAGTCCTAAACATCAATGAGAATATTCAAACAAACAATACGAAAATGAATTTAATGGATAGATTGTTTACATCTGGGCTGCACATATTAGTTTTAAATCTGGTTATCGATTCAATTATACTAAATCAATTTTGAATTACATACTGCACTTCGTGAGTTTCGGTGAACTCAATAAGTTACATCAACGGTGGGAATGAAGAAGAGAGGCGGAATTAGACAGCTGAGAGGTGGTTTTGTGACCTTATCCTACCTGTGTTGATTTTGTTTTTATCTTTCAGGATCTTAATAAACCCAGATATACTCTTCTCTAACAAATAATCCCAGAACATAGTGCTGTCTGCTTATCCTATAGCGGTCAGTACATATTCTAATATTAGACATTAGGTGACTAAAACAGAAATAGTAATCAATGTTTAAATAAAATACTTTAAGGTATTACTTACTTATCTACAACAGGTGCATGTGGTAGCAGATCTGAAAGGCTCCAAATTGGTTTCATCTCTTCATCACAAAAAGTTGAGTCTCGAACAGCTCGCAGTTGCCAAAACTTTGAAAATCAATAGATGGTTAGATATATATCCACACACGAACTAACAGGGGATATTGAGATAAAACCATTATGACTACTACACTCTCAAAACCTCATTGTATATTGGTGGTGGATGTTACATAATAGTTTAGTGTATACTGCATAATGTTACGTACACAATTTTAGCCAAGACCTAGTCTTATTTACATAATTAACAGAACCTACAGTTTTCCATATACTATAAGTTAAAATATGTGCTTAAGCATTATTATAATCAAAAAATAACATGAATTCAGTCTTTTAACTCCAATGTGATAGTGAACTGGACTTGAAAAGTTATAAACTTAAAGTAAATCAGAAAAAAAATAATTATAATTGTCTCAAGATGTAAACAATCCTTTTACACTTTATAAGCACCTGAAGTGATTTCCACATAAAATTGTGTATTAATCTAAGCACTAATACTTCCACTTTAATATGAATTATATTCACGTAACTCACTCCCTAAGCACAAACTTGAGTATCTGATTTAATTATCTGTTTACTTGGGTGTTAGCAGTAATACGCGTCTGCCTAAATCGAAGTAGATGGAGCGGAGTTCTCACCTGAGACCTAAAAGTTAAAAGCTAAATGTTTTAACTGCTAAGCTACCGCTCATAATACGAATCAACTAAACAGTTAAAACAATAAAGGAATGAGAATGTTGGAAACAGTTTCAGCCATCCTCACTAAAGTATCACGATTGCATGACCATGAACCATCTTATAACTACTGGCAAAATTGATAAGTAGAACAGTTGCAAGACAAGCAGCAATCATCTGATAAGTCAAGAGAAACTAAAACTATCTCGTAAATTAATTTGGTTTTAGATTTACAGGATCTGACTAGGAATCATTGTTACAACACGTCAAACCACAAAGTAAAAACTATCAAAAGTGAAATGAACATTTTACAAATGTTACTAAGAGTTACCTGGAAACGCCCATCAATTGAAGCTACGACAATATTCAACTCATTCATTTGGTCCACAGAAAAATTAACATGATGTACTTGTTTTGGGCGTCTAGAAGAAGCAGCAGTTGCAACAAGAACATAAGTGCAGCTGTTATCAGCGTGGATATCAGAAGATTCTTTACTAGGTTTTCGCAGTAAATGAGAAGGATGAAGAGAAGGATCTGCTGCTAAAGCAAGACCACGACAAGCATATACGCTTAAATTACCATTTTCATGTAGGCAAATGATGACATCACGTTGAGTGCAAGAATAAACCTGTAAATCAGAAATATGCTTACAAATATAACCACACATATTCCTTATTCTAACAGTCTCTAGCTATGCTTTCCACGTCAAAGCCTCTCAGAAAACAAAATTTTGCTCTTATGCAACCAGACTGCGACATTTACAGATAACGAAAATTAAAAATTACGAGAAATATGGCAAATATACATTCATAAATTTTCATGTATTGAATATCTGCCTCTGTAGTGATAAATTTATGTGTAGTGATAAGCATGATGAACAGTAAATAAAATAATGTATTGGTGCGTTGTTTTCTTTAAAAAATAGATTATTCAAAGCCACCCAAGATTCTTCGAGCGATCAAAATTACCCCTTCTGCGATGAACAAAAGAAATACTCAGTAATTTATACTTTTCTCGAATATTAAATACTAAAAATGAGTTCGGTGGATAAGCTTTCATATATTTGAGAAGGATGGGACTATAATAGATGTTTGACATTCCGTAAAATATAACTACTGTTAATCGAGGGGTTATGCTAAGATATGGGAGAAATCTAAGTTTATGGGCGCCTAGAAATGGTCTGCCTCAAAACTACGAAACTAAAAGATCACTTTCAGGATCGTTAATACTCATAAATTAAATTGACTCACACGTGAGAAAGAAGGCCAAGAAGGATCTAGATAAATGACATGAAGTGGACGGATCAATCCCAGATTCACAATAATAATCTCCCTCCTAAAAACAAACAGCGCACAGTCCTTGTGATATCGATGGTAAGTAACCTGCAAACATGTTCTAATAGATGTTGTTCTCGCACTATCACTCGAAGAATCACATGCCCTGAATAAAAATTGAAATAGTAAAAGCTTTGAATCAAAACAAACACAGTAAAGTTTGTTTAATAACTGAATGTTCACATACAATGTTCCTACAAGTAAAATGGGACAGTATTTTGCAGATGTGCACAACTAAGAACGTGATATACTTTCTTCTATTATGTACTTAACACTAAAGAGCGAAGGCAAGTTGGCTTTCGACAGCAGCTTCCTCGTAAGAAATTGACAATGGAATTGTTTCTGCTACTAATAACAACTTACTTATGGACACCGCAGAAATCATTATTTAAAATCTAAAGACAAATGAGCTGATATTATGAAATTAAACTGTTCGAGCCGGTACTAAGTTCAGACAGAAGGATTAACTTAGAACTTTTAGATTACTCTCGTTTCGTTTGATGAAACAGTGATTCAGTGATTAATACATTCAACTTTCACCCAATACGTCTCAGGTTTGAATCTGGCATTACTCATTTCTGTTCCGTGAATCACGAAGTATCACCAGCACACATTTGGAATGTGGCTTGAAGCCAGGTGTATGGATCTGTATCTAGCAAATAACTTAATTAAAGTGTCCATAGAAAAAAATATCAGTAGAAATAGTTTACTGTTATGTGTGCAGTGTTTAAATGACTTGTACTTGGTACTTAAACTCCAGATCTGACGACACATGGCGAAAAACAGAGTGATGATAAGGATTTCTGTAACCCTCAAAATTAATCAAAATGACATGTGAGTACACTACTTTTCATGTGATTTATTTAGTCAGATTAGTAATCATTTGATATGAGTAGTATCTAACATTAACCATTCAATAACTTACCGCGGGAACACGCAATATCATAAAATTCAGTATTCCTTATTAAAATGTGAATACACGTCACAGACAATCGGAAAAAAATAATTCTTTTACTCGCAGTTTAAACAACAAAGTCATTGCTTGTCTTATAAACAGCCAAGCATTATCTATTAACCCAGCAACTTCAAAGCCATTCTGTTGAAACATCAAATGTGGACTAGGGAATGCTAACCTCACTTGCTTATGTTACATGACGAAAAACAATTCTTCACACTAAGCAATTAACAATATCAATAGTCGAAACAATTATATTGTCTATTTCTTATTTATTAAAATAAATGCTAGACTACCAACGTGAGGTAGATATCCACTAACTGCAGTTGCCGTACCTTATAACCTTACGAAGACAGTGAATAAATAGGAGCAAGGATATGAATTAAAATAACGATACAGAAAGTAGCAGAAAACCAAATACGAACAAAAGCCAAATAAGGGAAATTAGAGAATATAAATTTCGGGATAGTACTGTTGTCTAGGAAAAAATAAGTCGAGGAACGAAGCCACTTACCCAGACGTGAGGTTCCGAGCCGTCATCTAAGGTCTTCAACCATAGTCGACAATTATCTTGTTAACACCAACCAAAATACATGACCTTTCCAACAAGACTCCCATAAGTAGTCATTGACTTTTTGGATAGATGTTAGCTTATCGTTTGGCTACTCTTAATCACTTTTAGACCACCAGCCTCATAAATTGCCTTGCCACTCCTACATAAAGATTTGCAGGTCATGCACGTTGTAGAGCTTGACTGGTAAATGAGTACTTTAAACCTTGAGATGAATAACAAAGCGTTTTAAGAAGATCAAATAAGACTGTATTAAAAGGTAGTGGTTTTGGTGGCCCCAGATTTGACTCCAAGTAGATCGTTTGCTGTTTGTTAACGACTTATACATATCGTCAATCCTCATATATAATAATCGACTTAAATTGCGTTTGTGAAAAACGGAATTAAATACTCCAAATACGAGAATGGATTTCGTATACGTATATTTCATACAATCATTGACCCAGACAGACGATCAAATAAACAAAGCTAAACAAAAATGATGCGCGGTGGAGGCGTGTGAGCCAACTCAAGTTAGTCAAGCGTCAATCGATGTTTATAGTCGAACACAAATAAGTTACAGACACGTGATGAGTAGGATAAGAAGTATAAACACATACGCTCATACAAAAAAGTCAGGACTAATAATCGAATAAGTGACAAGGTCAAAATGTGATTTAAGAAGAATAGATTGATCTATCCGAAGGCTAGAACAACCTACGTGGGCTTGACATAGTATCAGCCCCTACAACAGGGCACAGAACACTTTCCAGGGTAGTTTTAAGAAAGCTTTCCTCAAACTAGTATGTGATGGCCTCCAATGCTATTTATCGCGACCTTATGATCAAGCACACATCCATCCTCTCACATATGACCAATACTCATTATGTGACAGCTGATGATATTAGACAGTCGTCCACTTAAAACTTAATTTTAAACCAAAATACTTTGTTAAATACCTTCCAGAGTTCCCCGGGCTGACCTTTTGTTCACTGTACGATAATTTTACTGGCGTTTCTCCTGATGTTGTCCCATGTGAGTTTATTTCATTAACAAAACACTTGTTACTACCTTCAACTATAAGTTTTAATATGTAGTGTTAACAAACCAGCCTCAGAGATGTTTAGTTTCCTGCCTTTTCCAAAGGCACACGAAGTGACATTGAAATTTTCCACAATGAAATATTCCTTTGAGCAAACTTAAGAAGTAAGTAAGTAAGTGGAAAATCAGTTACAAATCATCTTTGAATTAGAGAATATATCCAAAGAAAAAGAAACCACATCGTCTCCAAAAGAGTACTTCCACAATCTTGTTTGGGTTTGTGTGTTCCAGATAATGAATCTACCACGAGAGTGGAGAACAGCTAACAAATCACGTGAAACCCACTGATTTGGTAGCCATATTATATCTAAACTAGTAAGCAGAATGCGAAAACTAACCCAAAACGAGTGAATCTGGCTCACGAAACTCTGAGGTCGCAGAGGACGTAGTAGCATCCCAAATAATTATTACTCCAGACGCGTCAACACTGGCAAGTTTTAATTGAAAAGGGTTTTTATCATCATGATAGTAATTTTCAGGAGCCCACAAAACATTTACTATGTTAGCGCGGTGCCCCTGAAGTGACTGCAAAGACTGGAATTAGGTTAGGAAAATCATTGAAATCTGTTACTTTACTGAAACAAGGGTCAACTATAAGTATGTTGGTGAAACTGCCAAGAGCAATAAGTCCTTTCCAACCGCTAAAACGTGAGCAAAATTAAAATACTGGATGAAAAGCATTTTACTAATCAACAGCTATACTGGTTTCTGTGCTGACACCGACCGATAGTACCCTTGGTCTCATGACACCCACGTATTCATCAAATAACCATTACAAAGTGTTTCGAAACACTTCATGCGAAGCGCTATCGAGACGACCTTCAGGCTTGAGTCTCTAATCTTAGTCTTAATCTGTCTCAATTAGTAACGATAGGAGGTCAATCGACCTATCTAAGTCTTTGAAATTTGTGATAATGTCTAGATACAATCTCACTTTGAAAGTGTCGGCGTAAGCTACTGCTATTACATGTTCTAGTAGATAATCCAAGTAATTCACTACTCGATGTCAGAAACGAAACTCCAGACCTAGACCTCTTGACCTCGGTTTTCAGACTTCCTTAGGATTTCTCAACAGATGGAGGGAAACGACCAGACATATTAGTATCAGAATCATCGTTCATTGTACGGTAAATCATTATTAAATCACTCTATAACTTGTGGTAAGATAAAGAAAATAGTTCGGTGAGTCAGTCTGTTTTAATAAGTTAAATCGCTGAGACGTTTAATCACTTTTTTTCATCTTCACTGAACTCTTTATAGCATATTAGCCTCATGTTTGAAACAGAGACCAGCTGCTTGATTCCAATATTCTTAATCAGGTCTCAAAATCGTCGAGAAAGAATAGAATAGGTTGGTTTGTTACTGTTGGTAGGTCATTTACATGAAGCATAAAGATGAAAAGGCCCAATCATTTTACTCTGAAGGACGCTACTTTTTATAAAATACCATGTTGATAATACCTCGTTTACCCATACTCATAGTCTCCTATCGCTGAGAATGTCTCTTATCTAGTTTCTGGTGGGACGATGACGGTTTTATCCGGATCTTCGGGTACGACTTTAAAGTTGCGACCACCAACATCCAGTGATATTTCTCTGTTTTGAGGGAATTTTCTCAGGTTTATGTTATACAGTTCGGTATTTGTCTTGCTATTTTTGAAGCGATTACCTAGTATGCGAACGGAACAAAGACTCTGTGACCAAAGACCAGTAAGTTAGCCATTCCGATGCGTCCCAGCCCCGCTAACTAGAGAGAAAAGTCGAAGTTTGGACGAAGAAATGTATTCCTCAAGCAGCCAGTAGCACGAGTAGACTTACCGCACTGGCAAATCCTTCGTAAAAGTACCCAAGCCGCCAATGCAGCTACAACCAAAGTTCTTACTGGATAATGCCAGAACGCCTGTTTTCTCCCAGATCAGATAAGTCTTACTGAAAAGCACTCCAATATCTTTGCCACGGAGTTATATAAACCAAGTAATCTCTTTACACTCGCTTCCTGTTGCTTCAGTATGGTTTCAGGTTTATGGCAATGTCCAAGGGGTTGCAGTCTAGCCACTCAATTGCACTAATTTCAACCACTTTGTTAATTATTTGTGGGTTTGTATATCCTACCGTTTGAGTGAGTGCATTTGTCTCAGGAGAGTAGGAATTCTGGATATTAGTTGTCATCACGTTACCAGGAAGGTGGTTGGTTGGTTGTAAAAACAATAAAGCGATGACTCACGTGCTAAGAGGAGAGAATGTTTCCAAAAGTAATAAATGGGTTAACTAGCTGGTAATGTGAGAGGGGATGGAATTCATAAAATGGAAGTGAAGATGCAGGTTATAATAAGAGATGTATGAAGTATTTACTGATGTGCGGTAATGGTTGCTGTGGTAATTTATGAGACATGCATTGGACATAGCCGGTCTGCGGGGGAGATGGCAAATCATGAGTGAGAACGTGTTTTTCAAATCCCCTCTTAGGGCTATCCACTGATGAAGCTATGATCACTTCTGCTGGGTAAAATACTCTGAAATGGGGGCAACTCTTAGTCAGGAAACGTAAAAACGAACCTGGTCGTTTGCTCCTTGACATGCAATCTTTCGAGGGCTGTCTTGATCGGCGTGATGACGATGTTCTGGCAATATCTTCGTGACGGGGTGGCCTAGCATACTTACTGTAATGTAGGTTGTAGGGCCAGTGAAATGTCACTGAGCCCTAGCCAAATCATCCGGCAGTTGGACCACTGAATGTCGAACAGATCATCGCTCCCTGCCAAGGTCATGTACAAGCAACGCGCATTAGTTTAATCATACGCCATGGACTGGCCCGTGCGGCAGTGGTCTTACTTTCGCTTGTATCTACCTTAACTAATATATTTCTGTAATAACATCCTTTGTGTTGTACAGTCTTCAAAGCATCTACAGTACCTTGTTACGTCAATGGGGGTAGTCCACGTAAGGTGCTGACCACGAGGTGTGACTTCGACGTTAGTTGGTTCGTCACACTATTCACGTCTAACTCGAGTAGGCCTCCAACCATTTCGACATAGATCATCTACGTTGGTGATCTACAAGGTTATTATCTGGTCATCTCATATTCCCTTGCAGCTCAACAAGAATAATCTCAGGTTTTGGGGTCTGTCCTCGTAAGATTAACATTTTAAACACATCGCCAACTTAGTTACTTGTCTTTGTCCTCGATCCAAGAGATCTATATCTCTTCTAGGCAGAGGGGACGCAAAGACACTGCGAACCTTGGGATGGGTCCGTGCGTGCGTTCTGACTAGTGTCAGGAATATTTTCTGAGTGATTGTGCTCAATTGTCTAAGCACAAGGTGGAGAGTTGTGTTTGCGTTGGCTGCATCTCCCATATATTTTGACCTGGTACCTAAGCCATCCGATGTTACATGCCCGAGATCACGAAGACAATTGGGAGCGGATTTCCATAGAGAGTATAGGTGCTTTGTATCAAATGAGACAGAGTGTTCTTGACATATCTTGATTGGTTAATTTTAACTCACTGTCTACTGCGTGTCCGTTGACTGTTATAAGGTTCTTTCGAAGTTCAAATGAATAACTGTCACTCTTTGAGTACCTACAAATCTTTGCGTCATCTGCATAGATCAGTGCCGCCGAGCTAATTTTATCTAACAGATCTCTAACGAAGACCAAAAACATGAATGGATCTAAGATTGTTCCCTGTGAAGTTGAGACCCCTCAACTTTTGTGTGCTCTATTTACCTTGGTACGAAGCATCTTGTTTTCTAAATAGTCTAGGAGCCACGAAAGTCATCTTTCCAACCTTCACCATGAGATATACATGAGGTACTGAGCCAAAGGCTTTTGGGAAATCAGAGAATATTACATGAAACAGTATCAGATGGTTCCAGCAGGTCGTCCAGATTTCCCATGCTTTGAGTTGATCGGATGCTGGCTCCTATCCATCATTACAGAATTTGGATTTGCATCCACTATTCAGTGACAAGTAAAAGCTACGGTCAGAATTCTTTAGGGAGTTATTTCGCATGAGCCATGCCCTCTGTTTGGCCTGTAGCAAGAATTCTGTGCCTCGCTTAATCTAGGATCTTCACTTTCCGGGTATATAGTTGTTGATCAAGATTTAGTCAAAACTTTAGCTCAAGTATTCGTTTACTTCCTAATTTTATTTTGGCATTATCTTTCTTATTATTTTACACTGAATGTTGGAACTTTGTTTGTAAAGACCAAATGATTTCTCTACCCTCACTTCTTGTTTTATTGACTTGATTCCGGGGCTTTAGTGGGGTCTATTCAGAATTAATCTAGCCGCCCGAGAACACGACTGCCAATGTATTTGATAGCTACATATGTGTTACTTAAAGTGCACTCAGGTCAGTACGTTTGTAGAATTATGGTCTACTATGATATTAGTACTGCTCTAATAATAGACCTAATCCTAAATTTGTAGATTTGTCATAATATAACTGCCTAATCTATAAGATCTTACGTGGAAGTCACACCATCGACTACACCAACTCACTGTATCGTATCAATTACCAATACATGATGTAGAACAAGGTTAGGCTAGAGAAAGAACAATATATTTAATATGAATAGAAGATATAAAGTAACATTGAGATGGACCACACCTGCATGGACGAGCCATGCCACTCGATCAACTCCAGTCCATTCAATTCTTTGTTCGCGCCTTCTCCATTGTTAGGTATTTCTCCGCGTTAAACATTGAATATCTATTTTCTGAGTAGTCTCGTGTTCAGCTTTGTGGATTGTGTGGCTATTGTCCAATGCCACTACACGTTTTCAGGACCCAGTAGTTATCATATCGATTGTCTGCTATATGAAAATTACAGAGTTCGAATTCAGGAGAACGAAGAGAAGATAAAGGTTGTGTGAAGTGAATTAATTAACTACTTGGACAATATGAATGAATAAGAGCGTGAAATTAACGGGGATTACAAAAGGCAAGTTGAGAAGAAATAGGCCGGTGGCATATGACGATAATTACAGTGAGTGCATTTCAATATACGCATCGGGTATGACTACTTCAGTCGGGAGAATGTATGAGTATAAGTCAAGTTGTAGATCGCCGTTCACCACCCATTTATCCAGTGTTTTGAATTCCTTCCGGAGTTCAAATCATTTCTAGGTCATGCATCGCAACCACTCAATCGTTTTATTCTAGAACTTGTTCCCATGGTGTCTCATTAACGGTCTACTGATGGATATTGTTGTGTCCAGTCCGTGTTATCAAGCCTATGATGGTGTCGACCTAATAAAGGCCAAAGTTCGGACCACCTAACCAAATTTTCTAAACCATTTTGAACGTCAATTCCTTCACTGTCACTACGTATTACTCTAAGACCTTCGTACTTTTCCCAAATTGGCTATAAAAATAGTTCCGAAAACTCGTTGATGTAATGTAAGAACAATAGAGCTCAAGATAATTCTATTTAGTACAACACTTTACATTTCCGTCTTATGGGAGCCTACCCCATTTTTCTTTCATATGAACACCATTAAAGTAAATATCGACCGTCATTTCGTACTACCTAGTGGAGGTCCATCAGTGCGACTAAGAAATAGATTCTACAGCTTGCAGAAATCCACTTGTAAAACGTTCATATGTACCTATATACACTTCCATCGATTTTCAAACTTCGAGTAACTCCGTACTAGATATTATCCGATGCTGAACAGTGAGAGTGACCTTTAAAGATGGAGAGGATTGTAAACACCCTAAACTTGTTCTCTTTTGTTCCTCAGTATTACTCATAACGAAGGTTAAGTACCCGGAGGCTGAACAAGAGACGTTTGTTCCTCTGTTATGAACCTCAGCAATTGTAGTTTATCATCCACTTTATTAAATTCCTAAAAGAAGTCCTAAATGCATGCCCTTATAGTGATCTACTTTTATCAAGAGAACGTGATTGGTGTAATGGAAACAATTGTTATTATAGCCAATTGTACCAGTGATTGTTTTACTGTACTTGTTTGTTTAGTTGTACTAAATACATACATTCTTCCGTTGATTGTAACCTCGCACGAATTCGGTTACGCTCAGTAATCACAATTGTAACCTGGCACGATCTCGGTAATCTTTCGATACCACGAGATCGCCAGCAAATACATCTCGACTACAGCCATCAACTGCCTTCTGATATTTTGCCTACGAGGGATCTTATCGGTTAACTGTTACATAGTTCTCCTGTAGTGGTGATCATAGTCAACAGCGACTCGACGCCACACTACACCGTGTTTGCTTTATCTGGAGGTATACAGTCTAAAACCACAGGTTACAGGAATCCATGTCATGAATCATACAGAAAGGTGTTCCGAATTTAGAAGACAATAGTCGCTTTTTCCTTGGATATTTAAAGGTAACAACGAGCAAAGAAGTTGGTAAGCTTCGACTTTCTCCCATTTCCTTATCGCTATCATATTTTGTTACACTTTACTTAGAATTAGTTCTATTCATTTGTTTATTTATATCTGCTTTTGACAGATCAGTTTAGTTCCTCTTTTTTTACTTCTATCCGCTCTTCTTGGTATAATTTTATAATCTTTTAGACAAGCAGTCAGATGACATTGCGGTGATGTGACTGCTCCCGTTTCCAATGAACCCGTTGCTATGGGACTAGGACGTCTACCTGACTTCACATTGCATCAAAACCCAGGATAACTGTTAGATCAGAGAAGAAAATCAAGGCTAGCTGGTTGAACTTGCCTAACAGAGAAATACCAGAGATCTGGGACTGTCCTTCTAAATCACAAACCAAGCTCAAGGAAATAAATTTGTTTAGACTGGCTTGTCACAAATATTTTCAAATAGTTCAAAATGGTTCAAATGGTTGTGGACATAATAGAAGAAGCTTTCACTTAACGGGCTTCCGTATTCAGTAGCAGTGGATTCTAGGTATATTAACGATAATAGAGGAAAAAGAAACTGGCAAATCATAGTAAGTTACTATCCTTAGTCCTTAAGAATAGGTCAAGTTGCCTCTTGAAGGACTCCTGAGAAGTCGCTTGGACTATCCCAGACGACAGCAAATTCCAACATTTGACAACTCTTAAGAAGTAGAAGTTGTGTCTACAGTCCGTTCTGTTGTACTGTGTCTCTAGTTTCTGGGTAATATCCCTTAGGTTTGTGTTGGAGCTAAACTTAAGTAGGTGTTTAAGGGGATTTCCAGAAGCGTTTAGGATACTGTAGGTCGCCTCTAAGACGCCCATACTCCAATAGGTAAAGGTTTAATGATCGGAGGCGCTCTTCATAAGTCTTGAATTTGAGTCCTTGGACTGATTTCGTGACTCGACGTTGGATACGTTCCAAAGTGTCCTGATCCTTTTGGAGTGAAGGAGGAATTACTATGTTTCCGTACTCTAAATGAGGACGAATGAAACTACTGAAGATTATGTGAAAAGTTCTTCCGTCTAACTGGACAAAATGCGTCAATGCTACCGCTTCATGGCTTGCTCGAAAGGCATTTTCGTCACGGTTAGCGTAAGACTTCAAATCTTAGGGCACCATCACTCCTAAATCTTTTTAAACTCGGAATACTTCTAGAAGGGCAATCGTCTAAGTTGTAGCTGTAGTCTGCGACATGTCGCAGATGGACTACTTTAAACTTTGAAGTGTCAAAGGCAAGTCCGATATCATTTGCCTAATCATGAAGTCGAGTCAGATCCTACTAAAGTGGCAGTATATCCTCTCGGTTGCGTATCTCTCTCCAAAGTTTCACACCATCAGCAGATGTAATAATTCAGACGATACCTGTTATGGAAGATCGTTTATATAAATCAGGAAAAGAAGAGGTCCTAGTGCTGAACCCTGGAGGACTCCACTATGATATTCCATAGCCTGAGAGAAAATGAAGTTTACCATGACCTTAAAATGTCGATTTTTTAGATATGAAGTGAACCAGTCAATTAGAGGTGATTTGACACCTAATCGTTTGAACTTATTGATAAGACATGTATAGTTGACCTTATCGAAAGCTCTTGAGAAGCCAATGTAAATGACGTCAACCTTCCCCTTGGGGCCAAGAATGGCTATCCATCTGGCCGCCGCAGGTTGGTTATACAAGAATGACCCTTCTTGAAACCATGCTTCTGGGGTGAAAAGAAGTTTAAAGATAATAAATAGTCGTGCATACCATCGCATATCAGGGACTCCATAATTTTTGAAGGTATGGAGAGAGGGACGACTGGTTGGTAGCTTGAAAGTTCGCTGCGTCGGCCTCCTTTGAAAATTGGTGAGATGTGAGCTAACTTCCAATCTTCCGGTAGTTTGCCTCGGCTTAGCGAGTGTGAGAACATCATACTGAGCGGCGTTGCCAGGATTGAGGCTGCTTCCCTCAGTATAGCAGAATGGACCATATATAGGCCAGGAGAAATGTCTTTTCCTAGGTGCTGCAGTTTCCAGTAAACCAAGTCAGCGCTTAGGTTCACTTTGGAATGTCCTGTGCAGTTGAAGATGAAGCCTTGATCAATATAGTTAATGTGGGTCGGCTGAAATGTCTGAGAGTATTATTCACCCAGAAGGTCAACAGCGTCACAGTCGCTATTAGTCGGGCCATTAAGACCTAGCAGTTGGGAAACTCCAGGTTTGTCTTATCGAAGAGAGGCTGCATAACGAATAGGCCTTTCGGATTGGAAACAAACTTATCGATGAGCTTTATCTGGTACTGAAGCCTGTCTTTTCTTATTGCCTTTGTGCATATGTTCCTTATACGTTTGTACTGCCTGTACGCGCCGTTGTTATCAGTTTGTCTTTATTTTGCCCAACAATGCCTTTTGCGGCTTAGCAAACGAAGAGTGAGGCTCTTGATGACTGTAGGTTGCTTTTAGATTTCTAGGACCATTTGAAGAACAGACTGATTTGTAGCATATAAGAGCGTGTGCAGTAAGAAGTCCTCATGAGCACCCACATCAAGTTGAGGGTGATCATCCCGATCCACCTGTTGTAGATAGTCCTGTAAAGCTGACACACTCAACCGTTTGAAATCCCAGCACCTCTTGTTGGTGAGATGCCTTGGCTGAAAATGATTACTCATCAACTGATGGGACCTATCAAACAACTTTTTCACATATGAAGAATTTAAAAACAAGATATCAAATACCTCAATAATATTACCGATTTAACTCGTACTTGTTTATTGTTATTAAGCGACACACTTCTAGCTCGAAACTGATTGGTCACCTCAGGGATTTGTTCAAGGGCAGTGCATCTTTGAAATTTGTGCTCTAGCAGGTAGTTTCGCTGCGACAAACATACTTAATTTGGTCCCAAATAGTATGAAAGGATTAAGTTCTGTTGCATTCTCTCAATTTTTTCTTAGCCATTTTTCGGCCTCAATTTTCAGGAAACTCTAAGCTACTTGGAAGCATTTCTATTCGATCTTTTATTTAAATAGTTTCGTACCACTCTGAGCTCTACTTGCTTCATTAATCAGTCTCTATACTGCATTTCACTTAAGTCTGGAGTAGTTATCCTGGGCAACATCTACGCCACTCCTGAAGTGGATAAAAGTGGCCGGTTGTTTGCGACGTTTGAATAATTAATTAGCTAACGACTACAACTTACTAAATTGTCCCTCCTTTTCCCTCCCAGAGCGAATCGGTGAAACTTTTCACATATATGACTTTTGAAATGTCTTGAAACTAAAACCTTAGCCTCCGCAATAATTGACGTCAAATAGTCTATTTTTATATTAATTCACTTCAAATATTTATTCCTTTGAACTATCAGAGAATTTCTGACCACAGACTTAGATTTGAATATTGAGAAAAAATGTCTGATGGCCTATGTTAATCCTTTTCTAGCAAGCTCTTCTGAGTATCTAGTCTTCTCTTAAACTAGTAGATTGAAGCTGTAAACACCCTTACGTGAAGTAGTAGGTCCCTAGAGTTGACTACTTGGGGGGAAACCTGTATGTCAAGGGTGTATTGTTTTGAACTCACTCTTAGTGTCCTTTGAGTTTTCCTAATCTAGTGAAAAACAATAAGATATACCAATTGCAAACCACTTTTTAGTATTATGTGCAATAAAATTGAATCAATTCTTGATCTGCAGTAAGAAAACGCAAAATGGTATAATTTCTCAAACCCTTTTGTGAACGGGGAGCACTGAAATCGCACAAGTAGTTGGCTTTTGTACTTTTTCAAGATGTTTGGGTGATCTTTAAAGCAAGGGTTTGCGGTCTGGACGCACTTTCAAGTTTGGATTCCACGGTGATTGTATATACCGTAGAAAATATTTATCAAATTGACAATTGTTCATCTTTATCCTCATGCGATCCTGACCCTCCTAACTACAACCAGGCGGTAGTGAGCTACGATCTTAAGGTTGTGACTTACTATTCTCCCACGGTCATTGAGAGACAGGACTACAAACACATATGCTTCCCTGATGCTGGAGTTATTTACCTTTGCGTATCCAATATGCACTTAGACTTACTTGACCACGTTGACAGGCGTTAACCACAATTTATACAAGTTAATCAGAACGTTTTGTTTGAGTTGGAGTACACATGGATCGAGATCTCCTTTTACTTCTCACCCAGCTTCGTCGTCATGACCTCAAAATATTATTGGGGAGTTCGTTCATACTAAGTATAGAAAGTAAATGACCCAGAATGGAGCCTTATAATACCCCACTTAGTACTGGTCCCCTTAAAAAACATGCGAAGTATATTATTCACCCAAACGAACTTACTATTTAGGTGTCCCAAATTTATTTAAAATGAGTATGCGTTCAGAAATATTGATAAACTAGAGTTCAGTCAACGCAGTATTGATTTCCTTACCTGAAGCTTCGGGCACTTCTATCATGTTAGTCATAGAGCTCTTGGAAGATGTTTTCCATGACCCTAATAAATAAATTCACTTATAAAACATGAATCTCCCAGTAATTCATTCTAAATCCAAAATGAAGGAATATTCTGTCTTGAATATAATTCGGGTTTTCGAAGTTCTAGTAACGGGTTTTCTCCAGCCAGTTTATTTTCGTGTCATTTAGATGCACATCAAGTTACCTGATATCTTTTCATAATTTTTTGGTAAAAGGTTTTAGTAAAGATGCCTACTGTTTCAGTTTATTATTAAGGAACTTTTCAATCCTAATCGTTTTTTCTGTTATATAACAAAATGATTCCTTGGAATTCTGGCGTAAACTTCATAAATGAGAACTGTTTCGACAACTTAACTGCGAAATACACCTTATGACAAAAAATGACACAACAAAGTGTTATGTTATTACATTAAAACTACACTACAAAATTGTCTCATTTGTTTAATTAGGAGTAAATTTGCCATTTCTATATTTTTGTCTTCTAGCTTAGTATATTTGTAATTTCTTTTCATCTATCTTCTGAACACTTCAGAATGATGGCAGTATCGATAGATGATAGCGAGAATAACTTCACTGAAAAAAACAGAACTACAAATATTAAAAAAATTACGAGTATAGCAAAATCATGGGGAATTAATGGAAAAATGACAATACGTAAATTGAGATCGATCATACTTCTCTGTTTTTTCTAGATGAACTTGGTTTGCTTCTCGTCGAAAAGTCCTCAACATATCCCGTGCGTAAGAATGTAAGCATTAGTTTATTTTTTTTTCGACTTATTGTGTATATTATGTCAGTGATATTACCTCTACATATTTTTTCTACCTCTTTGCTTCCCTTTAAAACAATTCTATCAAGCTTTTGGAAGCATTTCATTTATTGTATCTACTGAAAGCATCCGATGAAACTTATCCATTAGTTATTATCGAAAAAATCATCACTTGTTTGACTTTATCACTCACACATGAATATAAACTTGAAGCATTGAAAATACTACTATTGATAGCGTTAGTGTTATTAAAACTAAACTTCTGAATTATCAAGTCAGGAGGAGAAAGGATTGCGCAATATATTAAGGTTGCAAGGTTGTGATGCTACGCTCAATCTGTTGTTTAAAGCTGAAGAAGTCTTGAAACCTTACTGTTTAAATCTATTGATCAGGTAATTTTTGTAAATATTTACTTGCTATTTTGTTTGTACCAGTAATTTTGTCTGGAAACTAGTGTTGTATATTCCTTGATTTTACTAGTTTTTTTTAGAATGGTGCTGTCAAATTCACTTCGTCTCCTCTGAGACTACCTTCCTCATCAAAAATGGGTGTATGAGAAAGGTATTAGGTATATCTTAAAATATTAAAACGACAATTTGTTAACATGAATTTGTTTGTCCAAGTATCACATACATATAACTAAACAGAACATTTCAATAACTGTCTCATTATATTTCGAATCTTCATTTTGATAACAACAAGACTTATAGTCCTATTTTCAACGAAAGTGACTTTCTCACTGGGATTTTTATACGAGAGCTATTGTTAAGTTCTCTGGTGTATTATCTGACTACTTAACCTCACTTAAATCCAGTCGGTGTAAATGGTGTTGTTACATCAATGTTTAAAAAGTAACTTAAAGTGAGTTATTCAGAACTATGACTGTATTGTTTGCTACTTTCAACAGGTGTTTTAATATTAAAATTACTCGGAAGACTCGTCGTAACGTCTAATTTTACTAAGTTTGAATACCCAACAACTGATTATGAATAGTTAGTTTTATGTAGACACTGTTTTCGAAAATATTCTTCTAGACACAACTCCATTCTTACTTTTTATAGGATATTTAATTAATGTTTACTAAAGGGTGAGAGTGTGACCAATACATTCGCAACCTGATTAAATCATATAATTTCCATTTCAATGTCGTACAATTTATGTTTGTGAAAATAATATAAATAAACTAAGCCATTTATCATGATTTTCACAACAGGTTTATATGCAATCCATAATTTTATTCAATTGCTTTCTTATAAATCTTACACGGTAGAGAATTATCCTGCAAGTCTTATAATTTCGTTTAGAATTTCAGAATCTTTGAGGGGAAGGATTGCTATTCTTGAATATGCGGACTCGTCTCAGCAACTCCTTCTACAACTACAAAAGTCGAAAAAATTTAGTAATCTAATACTTCAGGTACATTTTACAGAAAAATGATTTGGTATATTGGATGTGTGTATACTTTATTTCAACTATTTATTGTAAAAGACGTGTGTGTAACAGTGTGTGTTCTTATTTACTTACTTACGCCTGTTACCCCTCATGGAGGAGCATAGGCCGCTCGCCAGCGTTCTCCATCCAATTCTGTCCTGGATAGTCTTTTCCAGTTGCTATTCATCATTTTTATGTCTGCTTCCACTTCTGGGTGCAGTGCGTTCTTTGGCCTCCTTCTTTTTCATTCCCCATCAGGATTCCAAGTTAGCGCTTGCTTCGTGATGCATTCTGGTGATTTCCTCAATGTATATCCTATCCACTTCCAACACCTTTTCCTAATTTCTTCTTCAACTGAAAGTTGGTTTATTCTCTCCCATAGTAGGTTGTTACTGATGGTATCCGGCCAACGAACATTCAGTATGTTGTGCAGACAATTGTCTAGAAATACCTGTACTCTTCGATGGTGGTTGTAGTAGTTCTCCAATTTTCAGCTCCATACAATAGAACTAACTGTCTTGACGTTCGTATTGAATGTTATGACTTTGATGTTGACTGGGATTTGTTTTGAGTTGCATATGTTCTTCAGTTGTAGGAATGTTGTTTTTACTTTGCTAATCCTTGCCTTTACATCTACATCAAATCCTCCTTGTTTACCAATGTTGCTACCCAGATACGTGAAAGGTTCCACATCTTCCAGAACTTCTCCATCAAGTGTGATCGGGTTGGTGTTCTCTGTGTTAAATTTGAGGAGCTTATTTTTTCCTCTGTGTATGTGGAGGCCTACTGATACAGAGGCTGCTGCTACAGTGGTCGTCTTCATCTGGATTTGTTGGTGTGTATGTGATAAAAGAGCCAGGTGATCTGCGAAGTCCAAATCGTCCAGTTGCATCCAACCTGTCCATTTTATTCCATGCTTCCCGTCAGATTTGGAGGTCTTCATAATCCAATCGACCACCAGAAGAAAAGGAAAGAGAGAGATTAAGCAACTTTGTCTAACTCTGGTCCTTACTTGTAATGCGTTTGTCAGCTGTCCTCCATGCACCACTTTGATGACTATTTTCCTAGGTACTCCATAGTGTCGAAGAAGTTTCCATAATGTTCTCCTATTTACACTATCAAACGCCTCATAGTCAATGAAGTTGATGTATAGTGGTGAGTTCCACTCAACTGACTGTTCAACGATGATCCGTAGCGTCGCAATTCGGTCTGTGCACGACCGATCTTTACGAAATCCAGCCTATTGATCTTGAAGTTCGTTGTCTACTGAGTTTCATCCGGTTCAGCAACACTCTGCTGGAAACTTTGCCTGGTATTAACAGTAGTGTGATGCCTTTGCAGTTCTCGTATTTGCTCAGATCTCCTTTCTTTGGTTTCTTGATGAGATGTCCTTCTTTCCAATCCGTCAGCACCTGTCCCTCCTCCCAGAATAGAATTTGCATCAGGTTGGTGTGTTGTCTGGTCCTGCTCCCTACCCACTCTTGGTTTATTTGATGGCCATCGTGATCTCTTCGATTGTTAGTGGAGTGGCATCTACAGGAAGGTCTGTAGGTGTTGCTTGGATATCCGGTGGATTCAATGAGGCTGGCCTATTCAAGAGTTCCTCGAAGTATTCTACCTATCTCTCTCTGCTGTTGCATTTCAGTGATTGTTCTGCCCTCTTTGTCCTTGACCGGTCTCGCTGGTTTACTATATTTCCCTGTTAGTATTTTCGTCGTATCATACAGTTGCGCCATGTTTCCTTCTCTTACAGCTTTTTCCACTGTTGTTGCTAGGTCTTCCACGTATTTCTGCTTGTCAGCTCTATTGCTCCTCTTCACTTGTTTGCTTCAGTGTGTTCAGTTTGTACCTTGATTTTCTCTGTTGTTTTTAATTGCTGTCTTCTTGTTCCTCCTTTCTTAAATCTTGTCGAGGGTTTCGATAGAGATCCATTCTTGACGATTAAGCTAGTTGCAGCCCAAACCTCGTGACACGTTAAAGCTAGTGCTTCTCTGATCCGTTTCCAGTTGTCCTCCATAGTAATTTCTTCTTTCAGTAGATCCTGTAAGACCTGGAACCTGTTGTTGAGAGTCACCTTGAGTTGTCAGTATCTCGAAGGAAGACTGTGTTGAACCTTTGTAATGCTGTTTGACCAGTATCTTTTTAGTTTCAGTTTCATCTTGGCAACCACCAGTTGGTGGTGATCTGAAGCTATTTCAGCTCCTTTCCTGATTCTCATGTCTTCCACTGACCTTGTGAATTTTTTACTGATGCAAATATGATTTATCCGGTTCTTCATAGTGTGGTCCGATGAGACCCATGTAGCTTTGTGTATGCGTTTGTGTGGAAATATTGTTCCGCCTATAATCAATTTGTTGATTGCACATATATTTGAAAATCCCTTCCCATTCTCGTTTCTTTCTCCCAGTCCATGTCGTTCCGTAATATCTTCATACTCGGTATTGTCCATTCTGACTTTGGCGTTTAGGTTTCCCATCAGGATTGTCAGGTCGTTTCCCAAGCACTTCGCTATGATTGATTGCAGCCTCTCGTAAAACTTATCTTTATCGTCGTCGTTTCTGTGATTGATGGGTGCATAACATTTGATAACATTCATTGTGATTTCGTCCTTTGTTTTGAAGGATGCTTTGATTATCCTGCATCCATGAGATTCTCACCCAATAAGTGCATTTCTCGCTTCTTTGGACAGCATTGGGATAACTTCTTTAGTGTGTGGAGTATTTATTTCTTCGTGGCCAGAGTACAGAGTGGGGCCAATGAGTTTCACTGATTCCGAGTAATGCCAACTTTTATCTCATTCCATTTGCTATTTGACTGGTCATCCTGGTCTCCCACATTGTCCATATATCCATAAAAATTGTTGCTTTGGTTGTTAGGAGAAGCACTGTCTTCGTAACTTCAGAAGAGTCCCGGCTTTCATCCTTAGGCGTCATAATTCTTCCTTCAACTTCCAGGACAGAGTTTAAGTCCGTTTAAATTGTTTATTCTGGTTAGCGTTTTTTCAGCAAAGTTTTTTTACAGGATATGCTTGCCGACCCCATATCCAACCCTCCTCCTTTACCTGGCCTTGGAACCGGCAGTAGCCCTAGAATAGATACAGGCGGAGTTACATTGTGTGTGTAGAAAGTACATATTCATTTTATCATCTAACATGTTTGAAATGGAATTTAGTTGGATCTTCAGGTGAATCTTCCAGGACTATCAATATTATTGTGCACAGGGCAGGACAAATTTAAATAGTTAAAAATTAGTTGATACTTACATGGGATCAATATCAAGTAATTTACTTCTTCACCAACAAACCTTCACATATGTTCCTAAATAACATTATAGGGACCATGTATGCTCAATGGTATAGGAGTAGGTTAGAAGAAAGCTAGGGGCGGCCAGACCAAAACATGGCACAAGTCCATGAAGTCACTGACAAGTGGACTGAGTCATGTTGGTTGGTGTAGACTACCTGGTTGGGGACCGCGAGATGATAGCAACCGATGGTTAGGGACCCTGAATGACACGGCTCAAAATCGTTTGCAATGGCGCAGGTGCATTCACTTTTTGTGTTCCCCCAAATTCTAATCCCCTGAATCCTCCTTGTCTCTTTTTTTCTCTTTCCAAATTTATTTCACTGGATTGTACTCTTCAAACCTTAATCTCTCCGATTACTGCTTATACTCTTACCGCCTCTACCACTACGGGGTTTGGATCGACAACTGCATCTCTGCGCTAATGTGGTGTGGCAACTCGAACTGATTTACGTATGTACGAAGTTCTACTTTGTTACTGACTGACTGATAGGGATCATGAAGAAATGGCTTGTTTCTACAGGTTTTCGTCTTGATTATGGGGTCAATCTTAAGAGAAGTTAAAGTGCACCACTTGGAATTATGCAATCGACACGAACTAGTTCTATTGTGCTTTCCGATTTCTCAATAATTCTTCAGATGATATCAGTTTATGAAATCTACCACCAAGAGATCATTTCTTTTGAGTGTCCTTTTGTTTGTAGGCTGTTATTTATCTTTGTATTTTCTCTTTGCAGCTCATAACTAATTTGTTGGGAGTACCTACAGCTAGAAAAATGTTCAGTGTTCCAAAATTTGTAAGTATCAATCCAACACTCATTGATTCTATAAATCGGATCTAGTATGGGAAAAACTGTTTGGTAAAAGGATAAGATATCAGAATGCATCACGACACGGATCGCATGCACTTAAAAAAATAGGTTCATCACTGAACTTATTTTTGTTTGAGCTTTGTTAACATTTTGTGACAATTCTCGGATCCTTACTACATCTTTTTTTCATTCTTATATTCAAAATTTCGCTTCAGGACTAGTTGAATTCGGTAGCTGGTTTTACTATAAAGTAAAATAGCTGGACACATTCATCATCCCGCTTCCAGGTCCTATCGACCCTCATAAGTTGGCGGTTGATGTAACGTGGCCACAAACACAATGGTTTCGTTTAGCGTTTAAACACTTAGTCGATCTGTGACACAGGTCAGATCTCCGTTTTTCTATCGGCTTAGGAGATTGTCATGTTCCCCTGTAAGATTGGTTAAAAGTTCGGATGTGTGCGAAAATGGAACAGTGCTTTAGAGGTTCGAACACTTGATTTCCAACCATTGGATCACTTTTTTCATCGATGTCCTTAGTTTATCAATATAGAGTGTGGCAAGTCGAACTGATGTACATTTTTACTAATTCCTATGTTGTTCCTCCGTTGTTTGCCTCAGGGTATTGAGTATGTAGTAACATCTATAAGTCCTGAGTAATACAACCCATAAACCACTGAAAATCTTATGTTATTGATAAATATCTGTCTGATACTTTAAGGATCAAATTTGCATATTCTATGTCTCAACACTCTCAAATACATGTCGTGGTTAGGGATATTTGGATATTATGACTTCATTTTGTTTAGAGTTTGTTAAACGAACCGAGGTAATTATTCAGTCAGTCAGTAACGACGTAGAACTTCGTACGTACTTACATCAGTTCAAGTTGCCATACCACACTAGCACAGAGATACAATTGTCGATTCAAATCCCATAATGGTAGAGGTAGTAAAAATATAAGCAGTAATCGGAAAGATTAGGGTTTGAAGATGTTATTTAAAGAGTATAATCCAGTGAAATAAATTTGGCAAGTAAACCTTCCGCTCGGCCCTTGGAATTACGTTTTTGATATATATGAAGAGAGAACGATCTGTGAGGATTATACAGATACCAAATTGAAAAATCTTATACATAAACCCCGTATAATCACAGTAACCCTATAGTCACTAGTAACTAGTTTCTATGGGTAATTCCCGGAGTTTTAGTGAGAAACCTTAATCAGTGGAGTTTAATCAAGTGTAGGCCTCTTAACTATCTCTGATATTAGTAGTTGGTCGCACAATATCGCAAATTAATTGAAGTTAAACATGTAAACTATTGGATTCTTGCTCGGTGGTCTAAAGGTTAAATGCTCACCACGAAACCTGAAGTCCCTGATCTTAACCCTCAGTAGGGTCGTGGGCCCACACTACTGAGTAAACCCATACTAGGTTAAGACAGTTGAAGATTTTTTCTTGACTTTCGTTGGTTATTTAACTAAAATCAGTCTTTTATTTAATCTATAACATTTCATATGATACTTTTTAAAAAATAAGTATCCTTTACCTTCTTTGTTATTATTAATTATATGTCCAGATCAGTTATTTATCCAGTAAATCAGATGATTCAGAATTAAATCTACGCAAACAATTATTATTATGGTTAGTTAATTTACCAAGTCAAAATCTAGTTGATCATTTGGCTTCACAATATGGTTTACATGATCAAAATTGGAATATTTCAACCGAAAACAAGTAATTTCGTAAAAGTTTAACTAACACAATTATCACAATTTACTAGTTGGCATTTTATGCTTCGATTTATTTGTTTATTGTTTTAATGAAATACAACATAATATTTATCAAATGACTTAACTTTTTCTTACTTCACAATAAAACTACATGATATTGAGGGAAGTGGAAATAATGGTCTGTCATATCTTCAGTCCTTATAGAAGTTTCGCAATATAGGTTTGATGTTTAATAAAATAATACAGACATCTTGGATTGAATTTTGTAATAACATTACATAGCTCACCTATACATACATAAGTAACATGAATCTAACACATAAACTGTATTGAAATGACAATATTGTGAAATTCACTCAAGATGCTCATATTTCGACAGAGATTGGTTAAATTTTAATCCATAATATCAACAACGCGATAGCAATAACCCTTGGGGATAAATGTTTACATTACATAATTTACTGAATACTTGTTTTGAATTGAACTGCTACAGTTGAAATATCCATCGATCATTAACCTTTCATACTATGAAGATAGATACAAAATTATAAAAGCATTCAGAATACCGGTTTCTCCATGGTTAGCGTTCTTTAGAGAGTTGGTTTTCTACGGGATAGGGTTGCTAACCCCCTGCCCAGCCCTCCTCCTTTATCCGGGCTTGAGACCGGCAGTAACCCCCGGAGGGGCTCAAGGCGGAGTTGGGTTCTCCATAAATTTTGCTTAATGTAAAAAGTACAAACCTAAAACTTGGAAATGATTACTTGTGATTTATAGTTAGAAGTGACTCTTCTAAATGCGTAGTGTTCTCTGAGTTGAGTGCTTTAATTACGAAGCTTTCATTCCTGTTTCGAATAACACCGCTAAGGCTTAATTTACATACAAGTGACCTACTTAGTTCTTTCACAAAGGCTAAATCAATTTTTTCTGATTATCTGGTCTGTAACTGGTCCTCACAGGTTTTGTTGGCTTCATTTGTCTTAGTACTCATGTCTATTTTCGTGTTCGGTTGACCTCTGACCATGTGGTTGGCTGATCCTACAGATTGGCAACTAATGTCTATGTTGATAAACCCTATTGATTCGAGAAATTGTCAGTCCACAATTTTGACGTTTTCGCAACCTAGTTCGTGTCCGTAGTTGCTTGCATACACTGATTTGAATAACATATGTTTTGTTGCTAGTTCGAAGATGAAAGAGGCTACCACTTTGTCCACTGTAATGCCCAGTGCAGTTGGTATTGCATTTCTCTTACGCCTGGTATCCTTCGGCCTTGTATTGGCTTTTGAAAGGCTTACATTCTGAATCCTTGTGATTCCAGAAATTCTTTTTCTGAAATGATATCATGTTTTGACTTCTGATGAAGATTTTGAGATGATACGTCAACTTGCTAGACAACTTTTGATAAAGTTAGTGGGATAGCCATTTTGTCTGTGGGTAGACGAGAAATAGGTTCCTCCAATTTTTTGTGTTGTGAGAGCGCTGCAATTAGTTTTAGCTGTTCTAAAAGTGTCTATGCAAAACTATTTTTGCGATCTGTCGGGTTGTTACTAATGTAATCCATTATTTGGTCTGCTTGGCTTTGTTTCGTAAGTACCTGTATTTATAAAGTTTATTTATTACAGGAGCAGAATTTTGTTTGGTTATTCTTCTACTGTTAAACTTGATGTTTTCGATAATGTTAATAATCAACACTTGATTGTCTTTGAGTTGATTTCGCTCGTGACTTTTTTAAATGGATCACGACTGTGCCATTATTCAATTGTAGGTTTTCTGATATTGTTTAAACATCATCATAAAGTGCTAATGTAATTATCCTATGATTGTATCAAATGGTTTAATATCCTGTCGAGTTCCTTAAATGAATTTCAGGTTGGAGTCCCTGTTAGCGACACAATCTATTTTAGAGATGTCTCTTGTTTATGCAATTTTGGCCTGTCTCAGAATCTTGAGGAACAGGTTTATTAGATCTCGGTTGTCCTTGATGGTGCTTTTCAATTCTTCCTTTGATCAGTTTACTTGGAGTTCTTTTGACTATTGAGCCCGTCAAAAAAAAATAAACTTGTCAGATTATCACCAATTCACGTAGTCTTAGTTTATTGTTTTCATTACCAGTGGACATTGTGTAAGTTATAACATTCTTGTAGGAGTTTGTGGAATTTCGGGCACTTGATGGTTAAAATCAAAAAAGTATTCTCCGTTTTGTCAAAATCGTTTTGAGTTAAGATATACTGATCAGCTGTTAGATTGTGTGATAACAAAGCAGCGATTACTGATCTCGTCAACGAACTAAGTAATTTTCACCTAAACGCATCCCAGCTACTTTAAAACATAAAAATAAGCTTAAATATTGAATGAAGGTCATGGTTAAATGCTATTCCAGATACTTGTTGTGTCCTATGGCCCGCCAAATATCACGCTACAAGATCGCCAATTTTTGTGACCTTGTCCCTATGCTGAACCAATGATGCGTCAAAACAACACTAGCGACCTTGAGTCAACTCTGAGTCCTTATTGATCTTCTGTATAGTAGCTTCTCGCCTAACCTAGCCTATTCAGTCCAGAACACAAATATTAGTCTCCACTATATGAAAAGTATATTTCAGACATACATGGTTTATATACAAGTAGACCAAACCTCATCACACTGAAATGAAAAATAATAATTATACAAGATCAAGCCCAAAGTGGCTATGAGTATAGCAGACTAACCAATAAATTGGGATTGTAAATCATATAACAGTGGCCAATATGCAAACTGAAACCTTGAGATAACAAGAATATGAATAAGCATAATCTAGGACGAAACGGCCGTCCAGTGCTTTTAGGTTTTCCATGGTGGTTTAGTTTCAATTGATTCATGATATCCACAAAACCCCTTCTGATATATAATCTAGTTACTTAATAATTACCCGATGAGAATATATATAATAATAGTCCATCAATAATTCCTATCAATTATCATTCATGAATTCTTCGATCAGACATGACACAAACAAAGAATAATATGATTTGGTACAATCAAAAAGACAGGAATACAAACGAAGATTTTGTTATACATCAAAAATGGATCAATCACTGATTTAAAACTATGGAAAAGTACAGAGTTGTGTATGATTTACTTATCAGTCAATAGTAGAATTTGAATTCGTTGGAGCGGGTAGTACTTCATACTAACCAATCAATGGCTTAATCTATGTATATAATTAGCAATATAAATAGACTATTTCATACACATAATTGTCTTTATTATCAAGACGTCTGAAACCAGATCTATGTATCCAAAAAGAGGGAGTAATAAATCTTTCTTTACCCTTGTAACATTATGCCCTTTTTATATATTGCATCGCTCATTATTTCAACTCTTTCTAAAGTTAGTTACATCATTATCATTTTTCCTTCAATTCATAGCTGACTGATTCCAATTCATATCCTTCTTTATTACCAATAATGTTTTCAGTCATTTCACTACACAATCATCTCATGTTTGCAAACTCCGCGAGTTCTAATCGCTATTTCAGTGTTTTGGAGCTTTCCCTCTCAAAAATATTTATTCGGAACAAAATTTATGATGACCTTATTAACTCGATCGGAATTTTCGTTACATCATGATACACATATCTTTAATCGCTCTCGTATGTATAAGTATGTCAATATCTGTAATAACGTTGATTTTAAATACAATAGGTTGTAAGCAGCTGATGAGAATCTAACGAAATAAAATTTCGTAGATTGGTTGAAGTTAGACATCAAAACCGTTGGATGTCAGTTCAGTGGTCTCGAGATTAAACGTTCGCGTGCGAGACCGATAGGTTCTTCGTCCGAATTCCGTGCGGTGGGATCGTGGATGTGCACTGCTGAGGAGTCCCATACTAGGACGAAACGGCTGTTCAGTGCTCCCAGGTGTTCCATGGTGGTGACTCCCGAATTCAACTATTAAATCAATAAAATCTCCATAAAACCCCCTTCTGAATTTATATTATTCTGTACCAATTTTCGTTCTTGCTCTCTTCAAGATGAATAGATTAGGCTGCTTCCACTAATAAATATTAATAAATTACGGAGTTCTGTAGTCCCATCCTAAAATGAACAATACTGAAATATTTATCTAATATTCTCTGGTTTTCTATGCCTTTCTTCTATGTAATAATGATTTATTCAAATATTTCCTTGAAAAAAACTTTTTAAGTGAGTTGATTCAGTCTTTAGTTCGTCTTCATAACTATTATTATGACAATCGATATTTTAGGAAACACCAGAAACCAAAGTGGGCTGAACGAAAGTTTCGTCTTAACATATAACTATCCTACACTGCATAGCCATTTCATCAAATAGATTCAAACACACAACTAGTTTAGTGATGAGCATGATTTGTAATAATATTATCATCGATATGTTATATACTTTCAATTACGTAACAAAATGCTTTGGTTTTTAACTAACCTAATCTCAGGTACTGACAATTCTTGTTATTACTGTCACCGAACATCATTGTAACTAATGTCTGTTAAACAAGCTGAAAATCCACCATATTATTATTGGTACTACTGTTATTACTGCTATTATTACTGTAATTGTTGCATAATATATCCCAATATTTCTACATCAGTTTAAAGTAATCACGAGATTCCAAATACTATGAATAAATATTTCTATTCTAATTTTGTGTCAAAGTAGTAGGTATGGTTATCTCAGTAATTCACTGTAACCATGATCCTATCAGTGTTAGACCATCATCCAATTCCTAGATACACTAAACGATCGTTTTATTCTCAGCAGTGCGCATTCACTACCCCTCACATGTGACTCAAGCCAACGATCTATTGTCTTACATGAGAACGTCTAACCTCTAGACCGCTGAGCCAGGATCCAACTTCTTTAATTTCTAACTTCAACCAATCCACGATGTTGTGTAACCATCTCCCATTGTTTTCGGTGGGTGACTGCTTCACATACCTGGTCACGGTTTTTCACTAGAACTCCGAGAATTACCTCTCGAAACTAGTCGCTAG